AAAAACATGGTAGAAATGACAACTTTGTATTGATGTTTGCCGTAGAATGACATGACACGCACTACAGACATTGTTGACAGAGCTAACATGAACCAAAAAGTGCAAACGGTGGCATACTATCAAGTATGATTGAATCTAGTAGAGGGGTGCTAGGGTAGACAGAATATACAAAAATCACGTGGAAAAACCAAACACACAACCCTACAACCTCTAATAAATGCACATTTTGAGCTCCACAATTCACCCACTTGTATGGCCATGTCTGCAAAAAAAACACTGAGACTGCATTGAATAGATACCTTAAGACATGCTTTATCAATTTCAATCATAAAAAAACCCCCTTAAAACCACCCCACCATTCACACAATTCACTAAGACAACATTGCATTGAGAAGTAAACCATTTAAACAATTATACAGACAGACTGAATTTCAACAATCAACTACACTACCCTGTATCGCGTCCCTGTCGTCAGCCGCACGCGAACTAACGCTTGGTCGTCTTTTTTTACGTCCGGCGATGCGGTAACCGTCGTCGCCGTCAACTGTTCAAGCTGTGGAAAAGGCTGGCGAAAGCAGGCTCAGGCAGCAGGCAAGCGCACTCCAGGCAGGCAAGCGCAAGGCAGGCAGGCGCACTCCAGGCAGGCAAGCGCAAGGCAGGCAGGCGCACTCCAGGCAGGCAAGCACAAGGCAGGCAGGCGCACTCCAGGAAAGGCAAGCGCGTCAGGCAGGCAAGCGCACTCCAGGCAGGTAAGCGCAAAGCAGGCAGGCGCACTCTAGGCAGGCAAGCGCGTAAGGCAGGCAAGCGCACGACTCACGGGCGGCTAAGCGCTCAGGTCGAGGCAGTGGCGCACAGGCAGGGCAGGGCACGCGCGGCTGCGGGCTGCGCGCGGCAGCGGGCTGCGCGCGGCTGCGGGCTGCGCGTGGCAGCTGGCTGCGCGCGGCGACGGGCTGCGCGCGGCTGCGGGCTGCGCGCGGCGACGGGCTGCGCGCGGCTGCGGGCTGCGCGTGGCTACTGGCTGCACGCGGCGGCGGGTCGCGCGTGGCGGCGGGCTGCGCGCGGCGCCGAGCTGCGCGCGACAGCAGCGAGCACGCGGGCGGCTAAGGCAGCGGGGCGCGCTAAAAAAAAATGCACGCGCGCATGCAGCCGAGGCGCGCGCGGGCAGCAGGCAAGGTAGGCACGTAGGTATAGCTGTAGGGAAAGTAACTCATGAGTAGGTGGGCCCCAATCTTAGGTCCTTAGGACCATTGCTCTGATACCATGTTGAGATAGCTAGGCAAGGTGAGGTTCACTATCGAGAGAAATTTTACAAGTAGGAAAACCCTAAGGGGTTATACCCCACAGAATCTACCCCACTACAGCCTACCAGTAATATAACCCATATAAATATGTTTGACAATTACAGCCAAATATAACTAGTTATATGAACCGTACAGTCAGTTCACAAAACAAGTCTTCTTGCAATATGACTAGATCATCCCATTCATGGGTGTTGACCATATTGTAAAGAGTACTGAGGGAGGCATAATGCAAAGCCATCCCAGAAAAACCCAGCTAACGTGTGTCAAAAACTCCCAAGCAAGCAAGCACTGGTTTCCACCTTTTTGTGAATTCAACCACTGGTTTGACATGACAAGGGTGGTATATAAGTCATTCTAAGCCTTACAAACCTGTTATTCATAACAAAAAACATGGTAGAAATGACAACTTTGTATTGATGTTTGCCGTAGAATGACATGACACGCACTACAGACATTGTTGACAGAGCTAACATGAACCAAAAAGTGCAAACGGTGGCATACTATCAAGTATGATTGAATCTAGTAGAGGGGTGCTAGGGTAGACAGAATATACAAAAATCACGTGGAAAAACCAAACACACAACCCTACAACCTCTAATAAATGCACATTTTGAGCTCCACAATTCACCCACTTGTATGGCCATGTCTGCAAAAAAAACACTGAGACTGCATTGAATAGATACCTTAAGACATGCTTTATCAATTTCAATCATAAAAAAACCCCCTTAAAACCACCCCACCATTCACACAATTCACTAAGACAACATTGCATTGAGAAGTAAACCATTTAAACAATTATACAGACAGACTGAATTTCAACAATCAACTACACTACCCTGTATCGCGTCCCTGTCGTCAGCCGCACGCGAACTAACGCTTGGTCGTCTTTTTTTACGTCCGGCGATGCGGTAACCGTCGTCGCCGTCAACTGTTCAAGCTGTGGAAAAGGCTGGCGAAAGCAGGCTCAGGCAGCAGGCAAGCGCACTCCAGGCAGGCAAGCGCAAGGCAGGCAGGCGCACTCCAGGCAGGCAAGCGCAAGGCAGGCAGGCGCACTCCAGGCAGGCAAGCACAAGGCAGGCAGGCGCACTCCAGGAAAGGCAAGCGCGTCAGGCAGGCAAGCGCACTCCAGGCAGGTAAGCGCAAAGCAGGCAGGCGCACTCTAGGCAGGCAAGCGCGTAAGGCAGGCAAGCGCACGACTCACGGGCGGCTAAGCGCTCAGGTCGAGGCAGTGGCGCACAGGCAGGGCAGGGCACGCGCGGCTGCGGGCTGCGCGCGGCAGCGGGCTGCGCGCGGCTGCGGGCTGCGCGTGGCAGCTGGCTGCGCGCGGCGACGGGCTGCGCGCGGCTGCGGGCTGCGCGCGGCGACGGGCTGCGCGCGGCTGCGGGCTGCGCGTGGCTACTGGCTGCACGCGGCGGCGGGTCGCGCGTGGCGGCGGGCTGCGCGCGGCGCCGAGCTGCGCGCGACAGCAGCGAGCACGCGGGCGGCTAAGGCAGCGGGGCGCGCTAAAAAAAAATGCACGCGCGCATGCAGCCGAGGCGCGCGCGGGCAGCAGGCAAGGTAGGCACGTAGGTATAGCTGTAGGGAAAGTAACTCATGAGTAGGTGGGCCCCAATCTTAGGTCCTTAGGACCATTGCTCTGATACCATGTTGAGATAGCTAGGCAAGGTGAGGTTCACTATCGAGAGAAATTTTACAAGTAGGAAAACCCTAAGGGGTTATACCCCACAGAATCTACCCCACTACAGCCTACCAGTAATATAACCCATATAAATATGTTTGACAATTACAGCCAAATATAACTAGTTATATGAACCGTACAGTCAGTTCACAAAACAAGTCTTCTTGCAATATGACTAGATCATCCCATTCATGGGTGTTGACCATATTGTAAAGAGTACTGAGGGAGGCATAATGCAAAGCCATCCCAGAAAAACCCAGCTAACGTGTGTCAAAAACTCCCAAGCAAGCAAGCACTGGTTTCCACCTTTTTGTGAATTCAACCACTGGTTTGACATGACAAGGGTGGTATATAAGTCATTCTAAGCCTTACAAACCTGTTATTCATAACAAAAAACATGGTAGAAATGACAACTTTGTATTGATGTTTGCCGTAGAATGACATGACACGCACTACAGACATTGTTGACAGAGCTAACATGAACCAAAAAGTGCAAACGGTGGCATACTATAAAGTATGATTGAATCTAGTAGAGGGGTGCTAGGTTAGACAGAATATACAAAAATCACGTGGAAAAACCAAACACACAACCCTACAACCTCTAATAAATGCACATTTTGAGCTCCACAATTCACCCACTTGTATGGCCATGTCTGCAAAAAAAACACTGAGACTGCATTGAATAGATACCTTAAGACATGCTTTATCAATTTCAATCATAAAAAAACCCCCTTAAAACCACCCCACCATTCACACAATTCACTAAGACAACATTGCATTGAGAAGTAAACCATTTAAACAATTATACAGACAGACTGAATTTCAACAATCAACTACACTACCCTGTATCGCGTCCCTGTCGTCAGCCGCACGCGAACTAACGCTTGGTCGTCTTTTTTTACGTCCGGCGATGCGGTAACCGTCGTCGCCGTCAACTGTTCAAGCTGTGGAAAAGGCTGGCGAAATGCTTATCTTTCGCCAATAATCTATCTGGAAATAGGTAAAACGGCCAAACTGCTGCTGGTCGAGCTAGGTCGTAGGTTTTGATTTCGCTTCGGGCATTTCGGGGGGGTGGGTCGAGGTAGGTCGAGCGCCCGAGCCGCGCCCTTCCCCGTGGCCATCCACATCTATTTCGGGCTCCACGCAGGGTGATAGTGCCTAGCGCAGAGCTGTCTCAGGGGGAAAGTTTTTTGCGCGAAATGTTTCTGACAGACATGCGGCTTGGGGAGGAGGGTTGTGTCGTGCGCAGATTTTGTGCTGTGCTGGTGGGGACGAAGGACTCGTGTTTCAATACGTGCGAGCGCGTCGCGTCCGTACGTTCGAGAACAGCGACATTGTGCGTCATGTGGGAATCCCGTTCGGATTTGACATGAGCACCTTACGGAACCGATTTGTTTTAGTATTTGGCCGTAACGAACCGATTTTTAGCACCCCGGTTCGGGGTTGGTTATTTTGTATAGCAAACCAGGCCGGTTCGTTAGTGAATCGAGCCTGTTCGTTATAGATGCATTTCAATCAGCAAACAAAGATTGTCCTTAAGTTCTGTTTTTTTGTTCCTTGGTTCCAGGGCTGACGTTTCAAATGGTAGGCCTCCCTGAATCTAGGAATATTTCTCCCCCCTGTGTTATGGGTGCATATTTTCCAGAAAAACATCACCCTGATTGCTCTGTGTTAGAAAGTTATATGGTCTGATTATTTAGGGTCGAGAAGTCAGGATCAGATAGTTTTGCGCTGTACATTATCGAAACTGAACCTGTCATGACGTTGGATACACTTTGCGTGCCATTGCACCCGTAACATTTTTCTATAAACAGCTTTCAGAGTGTACAACATTTGTGAAAGAAAAGGGGATTTTTCGGATCATGATGTTGTAGAGTGAAATGTTGTTGTTCTATTTCTCTCCAACAAACCCCCTCCTCGACTCCCTGCTCTCGTCGAGTTGCGTCTGGGCATCTACCAAGCATCATTCCCGCGATCAGTGTCGAGAAGGCCGTTAGCCCTCGCGCATTCCGTCAGTCGCCATGGTACGTTCGCGCGCTCCGAATCGCCAGCTGAATCACTTCTGCGTACCTTCGTAAGCGTCGCTCGCCGTATTCACATGCCTCTCTCTCCGTGATAGTTACGCGTCTCGCCGTTATTCACGCCTCTCGCCGTAGGTACATCTCTCGCCGTATTCGTGCCTCTCGCCATAATCATTCATGCCACTTACGATCACTCAACTCCTCCTCTCATGCTCTACGCATCGCCCTCGAAGAAACATCTTGTTTCCACGCATCCCTCGTTTCTCCTCCCTATCACTCTCGCTCCGCCGCGTTTTCCCCTCGCCGCTCCACCGCTTCCCCTCAGTCGCTCCGCCCATATCCCTCAGTCGCCCCGCCCATATCCCTCAGTCGCTCCGCCCATTCCCCTCAGTCGCTCCGCCAATTCCCCTCAGTCGCTCCGCCAATTCCCCTCAGTCGCTCCGCCCATTCCCCTCAGCCGGTCCGCCCTTACCTCTCATCTCCCCATCCCGCAATTCTCGCCCCTCCGCCTGTCACCAGGCGAGCGACCCCTTCAACATCATCAGCTTTACCGACCGTGTTCCTTCTACCGTCCTCCCTCTTCCGTCCCTTTCCCCCTCTTCCGCCCCTTTCCCCCTCTTCCGCCTCTTTCCCCCTCTTCCGCCTCTTCCCCCCTCTTCTGCCTCTTCCCCCCTCTTCTGCCTCTTCCCTCCTCTTCCGCCTCTTCCCCCCTCTTCCGCCCCTTTCCCCCTCTTCCGCCCCTTTCCCCCTCTTCCGCCCCTTCCCCCCTCTTCCGCCCCTTTCCCCCTCTTCCGCCCCTTTCCCCCTCTTCCGCCCCTTTCAACCTCTTCCGCCCCTTTCCCCCTCTTCCGCCTCTTCCCCCCTCTTCCGCCTCTTCCCCCCTCTTCCGCCTCTTTCCCCCTCTTCCGCCCCTTTCCCCCTCTTCCGTCCCTTTCCCCCTCACCCTCTGCCCTTCCCCTCAACCCTCCCCCTTCCCCTCAACCTCCGCCCTTCCCCTCAGTCCCCCCTCACCCCTCGCCAGGCCAGCGATCGGTTCAACATCAGCAGCCAGTTGGAGCACATGCAGCCTTGCCCACTCGCATTTTTCCTCCCCTTCCCCGTTCACCCCTCCTCTCCCCTTCACCGGTCATCACCAGGCGAGCGATCGGTTCAACATCAGCAGCCAGTTGGAGCACATGCAGGCGAGATACGTGGGCACTGGACATGCTGACACCACCAAGTAGTGAGTGCGTGCGCTTCTAGCGAGTGGGGAACTACACATGTGCTTGTAGCGAGAGTCGAGACAGGGTCTAGAGTAGTAAGAGACAGCAGCAGTGAGCATAGAGCAGAGAGCAGAGAGCAGAGAGCAGAGAGCAGAGAGCAGAGAGAAGAGAGAAGAGAGCAGAGAGCAGAGAGCAGAGAGCAGAGAGCAGAGAGCAGAGAGCAGAGAGCAGAGAGCAGAGAGCAGAGAGCAGAGAGCAGAGAGCAGAGAGCAGAGAGCAGAGAGCAGAGAGAAGGGAGCAGAGAGCAGAGAGCAGAGAGCAGAGAGCAGAGAGCAGCAGCAGAGAGCAGAGAGCAGGAGCAGAGAGCAGAGAGCAGAGAGCAGAGAGCAGAGAGCAGAGAGCAGAGAGCAGAGAGCAGAGAGCAGAGAGCAGAGAGCAGAGAGCAGAGAGCAGAGAGCAGAGAGAAGAGAGAAGAGAGCAGAGAGCAGAGAGCAGAGAGCAGAGAGCAGAGAGCAGAGAGCAGAGAGCAGAGAGCAGAGAGCAGAGAGCAGAGAGCAGAGAGCAGAGAGCAGAGAGCAGAGAGCAGAGAGCAGAGAGCAGAGAGCAGAGAGCAGAGAGCAGAGAGCAGAGAGCAGAGAGCAGAGAGCAGAGAGCAGAGAGCAGAGAGCAGAGAGCAGAGAGCAGAGAGCAGAGAGCAGAGAGCAGAGAGCAGCAGCAGAGAGCAGAGAGCAGGAGCAGAGAGCAGAGAGCAGAGAGCAGAGAGCAGAGAGCAGAGAGCAGAGAGCAGAGAGCAGAGAGCAGAGAGCAGAGAGCAGAGAGCAGAGAGACGAGAGCAGAGAGCAGAGAGCAGGAGCAGAGAGCAGAGAGAAGAGAGAAGAGAGCAGAGAGCAGAGAGCAGAGAGCAGAGAGCAGAGAGCAGAGAGCAGAGAGCAGAGAGCAGAGAGCAGAGAGCAGAGAGCAGAGAGCAGAGAGCAGAGAGCAGAGAGCAGAGAGCAGAGAGCAGAGAGCAGAGAGCAGAGAGCAGAGAGCAGAGAGCAGAGAGCAGAGAGCAGAGAGCAGAGAGAAGGGAGCAGAGAGCAGGAGCAGAGAGCAGAGAGCAGGAGCAGAGAGCAGAGAGCAGAGAGCAGAGAGCAGAGAGCAGAGAGCAGAGAGCAGAGAGCAGAGAGCAGAGAGCAGAGAGCAGAGAGCAGAGAGCAGAGAGCAGAGAGCAGAGAGCAGAGAGCAGAGAGCAGAGAGCAGAGAGCAGAGAGCAGAGAGCAGAGAGCAGAGAGCAGAGAGCAGAGAGCAGAGAGCAGAGAGCAGAGAGCAGAGAGCAGAGAGCAGAGAGCAGAGAGCAGAGAGCAGAGAGCAGAGAGCAGAGAGCAGAGAGCAGAGAGCAGAGAGCAGAGAGCAGAGAGCAGAGAGCAGAGAGCAGAGAGCAGAGAGCAGAGAGCAGAGAGCAGAGAGCAGAGAGCAGAGAGCAGAGAGCAGAGAGCAGAGAGCAGAGAGCAGAGAGCAGAGAGCAGAGAGCAGAGAGCAGAGAGCAGAGAGCAGAGAGCAGAGAGCAGAGAGCAGAGAGCAGAGAGCAGAGAGCAGAGAGCAGAGAGCAGAGAGCAGAGAGCAGAGAGCAGAGAGCAGAGAGCAGAGAGCAGAGAGCAGAGAGCAGAGAGCAGAGAGCAGAGAGCAGCAAGGATCAAAATTACGGTTATTGTATTATACGGTCCGTATAATACGGTCGTTTTTTACGGCCAAAAATCCAAAAATACGCCGTATTTTTGATAGACTTAAAAAAAACGTAGTTTTTCTCCTAGCAATCACTGATTTTTTTAAAACCGTATTTTACGGTCGTTTTATCTCGTCCGGCGCACAGGGGCGGTCATACATGGAGTTCAGGTGGGGTGAACTCCAGGTGATTGTGGACCTAATGAGGAATGGAAGTGAGGGAAATCTATCGTCATGGCATGTGGGTCTATGATCGACCAATGTGAGGCACACCTCTGCTTCCGTGAGGATTATGTCTGGCGCGCAGGGTCGCTTCGCTTGTACAGGGAGTTCAGGTGGGCTCTAGGGGCGGCCATATATAAAGTTCAGGTGAAGTGTGACGTGAGCAGGGGAGTGTGAATGTATAAGCAAGTCAATGTGATTAACCATTGTGAGGTGCACTACTGCTTTCATGAGCCCCCCGTCAGGGGCGGTCATACATAAAGTTCAGGTGGGGTGAGGGGCATATGGGGTGACTCAAGGCCTGAATATGGAGGTGGTGACGATGCAATGCAGTTTCTTCAGTTTTTTCTTGCTTGATTTTTTCCCCCCTCCCATTCTTCTCTTCCTGTTCGCTTCCCTTGAGCAACACTGGCAGGGGTGGAGGGTGTCAGAAGTCTAGGAAGGAATGAATGAACTATGAGGAAGATGGGTACAAATAGAAACCCTAACATTGGGCTGTACCCCATATGGGCTACCCCACTACAGCCTACAAACTATACTACAGCATACATATATATATAGTTTGACACACCCCCATAGGCAAAGTGGGGGAGAACAAGGGGTCACAAGACCAGTCAAGAAAAGCAAAGCAAGCTCAGGGTGGATCACAACGTCACCACACACACTGAGCACAAGCAAAGGGCCACAAGGCCAGTCCAATTTCAATAATTCGGTCGTAATTTTGAACCTTGGAGAGCAGAGAGCAGAGAGAAGAGAGCAGAGAGCAGGAGCAGAGAGCAGAGAGCAGAGAGCAGAGAGCAGAGAGCAGAGAGCAGAGAGCAGAGAGCAGAGAGCAGAGAGCAGAGAGCAGAGAGCAGAGAGCAGAGAGCAGAGAGCAGAGAGCAGAGAGCAGAGAGCAGAGAGCAGAGAGCAGAGAGCAGAGAGCAGAGAGCAGAGAGCAGAGAGCAGAGAGCAGAGAGCAGAGAGCAGAGAGCAGAGAGCAGGAGGCACTGAGTGGGTTGCTTCTCCGCCTGCAGCACTGAGTGGGCACTAGTGGAGGAGCCATGCTTCTCCCTCCGCCTGCCATCACGCCTCTGCCCTCCCACACACAACCCCCCCTGCCCACTTCTCTTCCTGTGGCATGTAGCGAGTGCGCAGAGAGCATCCACAGGGACAAGGAATAATGTGCCGTGGCTTTTATTCTGGAAATCCTCAAAAGCAACTCCAACATAGTGCGCAGGAAGAAACCACAGGGACAAAAACCCTGTGCCGTGGCATTGCGTGAGCCGCAATTAACTGCCAACCAATCTGGCCTCTCGCTCGCTTATGCCCTCCGCCTCTCCCTCCCACTCTCCGTCCCCCGGTCCCTCCCCTCTCTCACTCGTTGCCCTAGCGAGTGTGCAGTGAGCAGGGAGAGCGAGTGTGCAGTGGGCAGGGAAGGCGAGTGTGCAGTGGGCAGGGACAGCTACGTGACAGCTACGCCTCCTACGTGGGCCATCATCCGCTGCTGGCCTTCTTTGTCGTTCATTTTCCCTGTACTTCCTTCTTTTTCTCACCCCTTTGCATGCAGTGAGTGGGCAGTGAACATCCACCGGGACAGCTACGCCTCCTACGTGGGGCACCACCCGCTGCTGGCCTTCTTGCATCTCACTCCACCTATGCTCCCACCTCCCCTCCCCCCTGCTTTCACCGCTGTGGCATGCAGCGAGTGGGTAGTGAGCATGCACAGGGACAGCTACGCGTCGTATGTGGGCCATCTCACTACCTTCTTTTGAGGCGCCTCAAAAGATGACTTCTGAGGCGCCTCAAAAGTCATCCAAAGGGACAGTTACACGTTGTATGTGGGCCATCCCTCTACCTTCTTCTGGCCGTCATTGCCTCTCACTCCACCCATTTCCTTCTCCCCTCATCCCTCTCCCTTCCAGCGAGTGGACAACGAACATCCGCAGGGACAGCTGTGCCTCCTATGTGCGGAACCACCGGCTGCTCGCCTTCTAACCTCTCACACTTCCTATCGCCCCCTTTCCCCCTCCCCTCCGCCTCTCCATCCCTCCTCTCCCCAGCGAGTGGGCAGTGAACATCCACAGGGACAGCTACGCCTCCTACGTGGGCCATCACCCGCTGCTGGCCTTCTTTGCCGTGGCGGAGAATGAGAGCATCGGCCGCGAGCGATACAACTTCATGCAGGTGAAGGGGGGGAGGGGGGGGGCTGTAGCAGGTGCGAGTAATTACCACTGTAGCATTGTGGCATGTGAGCGCTACAACTTTATGCAGGTGAACGGGGGGGAAAAGGTTGGGGGGGGAGGGGGGGTGAGGGGTGTTGGGGAGGAGGGGGGTGGTGAATCCGAGAGTGATGCAGGGCAGGTGTCGACAATGGGGCATCGGGCGCGAGCGATACAAGTCCATGTAGGAGAACGGGGGGTGTAGGGGAGAGGGCGGTGAACTAGAGAGTGATGCAGGTGGTGAAAGTCTAGCATTGGCCGCGAGCGATACGACTTCATGCAGGTGATGGGAGGGATGCTGTAGGTGGTGCTGTGCTGTCACTTCACATATGCTGCTGTTGACAGTAGAGCATCGGCCGCGAGCGCTACAACTTCATGCAGGTGATGGGAGGGATGACGTGGTTGGTGCTGTAGCAGGCGATGTGGCAGGTGGTGTAGCATGTGAGAAGCATGATGGTTTGTGCTATCAGTGAAGGTGCCAACTTTCGTATGCTGTTGGCAAGTATTTTACGCGTAGACATGCTTTTTGGAATACTCTTGTTGACGTTTGCTCGGTTTGGTTGGAGGGAGGGGGGCTGCCACTTCATGGGCTTAAACAATACAAAACAAACCCATGCAGAAACCTGTTTTCCATTTGCTTGAGTCTCTTGCTTCACTCCCCAATTCCCTTCCCTGTGCCCCATTCACCTATCCACCCATCCACTCCATCACAGCGCATGCTGCTGCCATGTGGGTTGCCACCAGACCGTGATGAGGAGTGAGGTGAGGGGACTGCCACTGCATTAGTGCTCCTTGCAGTCGTGCTGCAGTAGGCTGGGGGATTCCTATAGTGCTGCGCGCGTGTAGAGATACGGCACTAAATTGGCACTGTAGTGTGGATTGGGGAGAAGATCAAAACGTTCTGCAAGGCATAGTTTTTAACTATATGGGGGAAGTACATGGGAGGATGGGGTGGGGCGCCAGTTTGCAGGTGTCATGTTGTGGAGGGCGCAGCTGAAGCAGTGTGTGCCACACGGCACGGCACTGGGTGTTGTGTCACTGCCCCCACCGTGCGGGCGGGTGCAAAAACCAACTGTCCGCGGCACCCGTGCTGGCACAGTGCCAAGCAGGCCAGACCAGACCAGACCAGACCAGACCAGACCAGACCAGACCAGACCAGACCAGACCAGACCAGACCAGACCAGACCAGACCAGACCAGACCAGACCAGACCAGACCAGACCAGACCAGACCAGACCAGACCGCTCAGTCTTTGGCATGGCTTCCAAGCAGTGGCGTGGCGTTTCACCTAGCAGTTAGTCACGGGCTGTACAGACCACTTGTGTACATTGTGAGTCGTTGCATTTATTGGCACATACTGCAATGCATTACTAACAACTAAAACATATACACTGGTAGGCAATGTCCAATTCGCTGACAAGCAATCTACCCAAGAGAAGCCCTATTTGCATGGATGGTAAGTACACCACAGGCAAGTGCACACCAGAAAGAGCAGCTGCCCTCTCACCCAAACCCCTCTTCCACACACGCAGCATCACCAACCTCTGCCTGTCCTCCTCTTCCCTCTCTGCTCCCTCTCCCTCCTCCACTCACCACTTCTCCTCTTCCCCAGCCTCTCCCTCATCCTCTTCCCCAACCTGGTTCCCATTGTCAGCTCCCCCATTCCCATAGTCAGCTCCCCCATTCCCATCGCCCTTCCCCATTCCCATCGCCCTTCCCTCCCTCTTTTCCTCCCTCCTCGCGTTCCTCCTCTCCTCCCTTGTTTCCCCATTGTTTCCTCATCTCACCCTCTCCCACCTTATCGTCCTTCCCCACAACTCATCCCCCACACCTTCCCCTTCCTCCTGCCTCTCCCCCTCTCGGTCCCTTCGCGATTGCCACACTGAACCAAAGCCATCCTCCCCACCTCTGCTCTCTCTTTCTGCGTCCATCCCGGATTCGCCTTCATCCCCCACGGCCGCTACAGCTCCCTCCAACCCGCCTCTCACCACACCCCCCCTTTCTGCCCCCCCTTCACCTCCTTCCACTTCCCCACCTCTGCTCTCCCTCTCTGCGCCCATCCCGGATACGCCTTCATCCCCCTCAGCCGCTACAGCTCCCTCCAACCCGCCTCTCACCACACCTCCCCTTTCTGTCCCCCCTTCACCTCCTTCCACTTCCCCGCCTCCCTCGAATGGTCCCTCTGTCTCCCCGCCCTCTCCCCCCTCGCCCCCCCCCTCGCGCGCTGCACTGGACTGTCTCTGGCCATCGTCCCCACGTACGAGCCCCCTTCGCCCCCTTCGCCCCCTTCGCGTCGATCCCGCTCCACGTGGACGCGTCGCCCGCACACTCCCACCTCCGCGTCCTCTCCCACCGCCCCGCACCCGCGCACGTCCACGTGGCGCAACCCCTGCGCGCGCGCCAGCCCCGCGGGCAGCTCCGCCAGCGCGGAGCACCCGTCCAGCAGCAGCGAGTGCAGCGCGGGGAGGGCCGCGAGGTCCGGGGGGAGCGCGGAGAGAGACGCGCAGGACGAGAGCTGGAGCACGCGGAGAGCGGGCAGGCGGGAGAGCGAGGCGGGGAGGCGGGAGAAGGCGCGGCAGTTGCGGACGGAGAGGCGCGCGAGGCGAGGCAGCGGGCGGAAGTCGTCGGGGAGGTGCGCGAGCAGCGCGCAGGAAGCGATGTCGAGCGACTCGAGCGCGGGGAGGCGCGGGAGGGACGCGGGGAGGCGGGCGAGCGCGGCGCAGTCCTTGAGGGAGAGGCGCTTAAGGGCGCGCAGCTGGCCTATGGCGTCGGGGAGGGCGCGGAGGGCGGGGCATTTGGCGAGGGAGAGCGTGTGGAGGCGGGGGAGGGCGCAGAGGGACGCGGGGAGCGCGGCGAGGAGGGGGCAGTCGGAGATGCGTAGCGCTTCCAGGCTGGTCAGCCCGCTCAGACCGTTCGACGGGCTTAGGGACGCGATCGCCGCGCTCGCTATAGTCAACGTTTTCAAGCGGCCCAGCTGACCAACGGAGCCCGGCAGCGCGGTGAGGGCACCGCACCGGGAGACGCTGAGGTGCGTCAGTGCGCTGAGCCCGTTCATGGCGGCGGACACGGCGGAAGACTCCGCAACGCCGAGCGCCGTCTGGCGGCCCAGCGACGCGGGCAGGCTCCGCAGCGCGGGGCAGTCGTCGAGCTCCAGCGACTCGAGCGCCGCCAGCTGGCCCAGGGATTCGGGAAGCGCCGCGAGCTCGGACGCGGAGGTGATTGTGAGCGCGCGGAGGGCGGTGAGCGCGGAGAGCGCGAAAGGGAGGCACTTGACGTGCTGCAGGCGGAGGAGCGAGAGGGAGGTGAGCGCGGTGAGGCGGAAGACTTCGGCGGGCAAGGAGTAGAGCGCGGGGAGGTCAGCGAGCGTGAGCGCGCGCAAGGATTGCACGAGCGCGGGGAGGGCGGGGGCAAAATGGGTGATTAAGTAGCAACACTCGAGGGAGAAAGACTGCAGCGGCGCGAGGCGCCCGCCTGGCTGGCGATGTCCGCGCGCGTCCGCGTCCGCGTCCGCGCGCTCGCCGCCGCCCCCGATCAGCGAAGCAAGGCACGACACGTTCTTCAGCACCACGTGCGCCAATCGCGGCAGCGCCAGCAGCGTGGGCGGCAGCGCTCTCATCGACTTGCTCGGCGCCAGCACCAGCCGCTCCAGTGACGTCAGCATCGCGATCGACGCGGGCAGCTCGGCGATCGGCGAGTCGACGATCTCGATCTCGCGGAGCGCCGGCGCCGCGCCGATGTCGTCGGGGAGCGCGCGGAGGCTGCGGCAGTGGCGGACGGTGAGGCGCGCGAGGGACTCGAGGGAGATGGGCGGAAAGCGGCCCCACCCGCGGCTGACGTTCTCCAGGCGCAACTCTTCCAGCTTGCGCCACTCCTCCCCCACCTCGGGCATCGCGCAGCTGATGTTGCGCAAGTCCAGGCGGCGCAGCTCCTTGAGCGCGCCGATGCTCTCCGGAATGCCCTCCAGGCGGAACCACCCGTGTATTTCCACCGCCGTCAGCGCACTCATCGCGCCGAGCTGCGCGGGCAGCTGGCGCACGGCGCGGCAGTCTGTCACGCAGAGGAGAGACAGCCGCGTGAGCTGCGTAACGGACGCGGGGAGGCTTCGCAGCTCGGGGCAGCTGACGCGCAGCTCCTCCAGCGCGCGCAGCGCGCCGAGCCCGTCGGGAAGAACGGTAATGCGCGCCAAGCTGAGGTTGAGCACGCGGAGCGACGAGAGCGATGCGAGCGAGGAGGGAAGCTTCGTCATGTTGCCGAAGCTGTGGTCGAGAGTGAGCTCCTCGAGGCGCGAAGCGCGTAGGAAGAAGCGGCCGAGGCATGTGGGCGTGATGCGGAAGTGCGGCACTCCGGTGTACCGCGGCTCGTCCAGGCGCAGGCGGGAGAGCTGCGAGCAGGCGGAGGGCAGCGCCGTTAGGAACTCGTCGTTGAGAAAGTCGACGCTCCTGTAGGCTAGCATGAGCGAGGTCACGTTGGGGAGTCTCGACAAGCCGCGCAGCAGCTCGCCCGCGTGGAGGTTGCGCTCCGCGCTGACGTGTACGGCTTGCTGCGAGTGCTGCGCCAGTCGCAGCCACCGGCGGCACACGAGCGCGTGGTGCACCGCGTTGCTGGAAGAGGCGCGGTCGAGAATTGCGGAGAGCACGTCGTCGGGCAGACGATTGATAATATCCTCGCCCGGCTGGAGCGCGCCTCTCATTGGTTCCACATCTCGCGGCGCTTCTGTCACGCGAAAATCAGGCGGTGCAGTCGTCGTGTCCATGGCTTATGCGTAAAGAACGCTTCTGCGCGATGTGGGGCTGCTGCAGACGAAGGAAGGTATGCCTAGGGTCTGGGATGTGGAGTAGGAAGCAAGACAAGGAAATTTGTGCACAGAAAGCATGGGGGGAGGGGAAGAGTCGAATCAAGCAGTTGGGCACGGCAGTCCGTGCTTGTGGTGTGTAGCCCTACCTTGGGCAGGTTTTCCCCCCAAGTCCTCCTCACCCAAGTTTTCCCACGCGACTCGCAATCCGATGAGGTTTGTGTCAGAACGAGTCGCGCTTACCACGCGATTCGAACGCTCTGGACACGTATAAGTTTTGGAGAGGAATTGCTGCAAGACGCGTTTTTACGTTCAGGTCCTGTAATAGCAGGAATGATCAACATTACGGTACATGCTCGTATTCATGGAAATATGTAACGAGAAATTAAAATTCCTTCAATACACATCTCAATGAACGATCATATGCTTCCGAAAATCATTTTTCACACGTACAGGCAACTATTTACAGCATGACTTACAGCACTGGATTGCGGCTACAAAGTTGGTGAAGAGACGGGTAATTTTGTCTTATGATATGAACCTGACACACTTAACATTGTCAGCGAGTACTGATGTATCGCGGAAGTATTTTGCGCTCCACTCACCGCGACTCCGCAAGGGGTGTTCCAAACATCCTTGACCCCGTACCGTACCCAACCGTTCAACTGCAAGCTTACCGAGCTGGGTTCGCAGGAACTCTTGGGAGTGGAAGCCACATGATCTTCAAGCCTTGGGATTAGCGGATTAGAAATGGTCAGCTCAACAGCCCAGGAAAGCCGAGTAACGCTGCGGAAGCATGCAGTTTTCGTTCGCCTAGATCTCCAGATTTTCGCTCGCAGCTCCACGCGCGTAACGCGACGTCCTAGAGTTGCCCGTCATGGGAGACGACGAGGACTCGCCTCTCCATCCTTCCCTCAAGACTTCTCTCAAGCAGCGGCCGTCAGGGCAGACGACGTCGCACGCGACGTCGCTGGCGACGATTCCGTCGCACAGCAGCGACGCTGCGAAACCCGTCGCGAGCATGGCTTCGAATAGGAGCCGCGTCTCCGCCGTCCGTTGGGACGATCTGGACCGTCTGAACAGCTCCGGTAATTCGACACGTCAGCACGAGGCGAATGAGATGCCCACGTGGCTGACGCTGTCTGACGTCAGCGCGATAAGCTCAGGAGCCGAGAGCGAGCGAAGCGGCCGCGACGCGTGGGACGAGGCGCGCGCGCGCAGGGAATGGGGGGAAGAGGCAGGCGCGCCGCAAGGATGGACGAACGGGAGGGGGGAACGAGGGACACGAGGGGAACGAGGGGAACGAGGGGAAGCGGAAGGGCAAGCGGAAGGGGAAAGGGCGGAAGCGGGGAATCCAGAGGAGCAGAACATGTACGAGCTGCCTCACAAGCAGCGGTTCCGCGGTGACCATGACCTGTCGCCGCTACAGCAGGTGAGCGCCTGTCCCACTGCACTGCACGGCCTCCCAAACGTAACTGGTGCGACCCTCAAGCAGTCCCACCCACTCCACCGTTGCCGTCCCATCCCCCATCGTCCCCTCCCCCATCGTCCCCTCCCCCATCGTCCCCTCCCCCGTCGTCCCCATCCCCCATCGTCCCCATCCCCCATCGTCCCCCTCCCCATCGTCCCCTCCCCCATCGTCCCCTCCCCATCGTCCCCTCCCCCATCTTCCCCTCCCCCATTGTCCCCTCCCCATCGTCCCCTCCCCCATTGTCCCCTCCCCCATCGTCCCCTCCCCCATCGTCCCCTTGCCCTTCCCCCCTCCCCCGCTCTATTTCCTGAACTGGGCTCCCACACGCTGTGCTGGGCTCTCCGTCAAGGGACCTCAACTGGCTCTCCCACCCTCATGCTCTCACAGCACGCTGCTGTCTGTCTCTCACGAGACCTCATCCTCTCCACCTTCGCCTTCGCATCGCCCTTCCCCATCCCCTCCCCATCTCTCCCTTCCCCTCCACAACCCTTCCCCACACCCCCCTCCCCCCACGCGCCCACCCTCCCCCCCAGCTTCTCAACTGGGTGTAAGCTCAGGCAAAAGACCCGGACGGGTCGCGTTACCCGTCCCGAACCCAAATTTTATAGTCGGGTCAGGTCCTTACATTGGGTACAAAATACCCGATACCCGACCCGGATGTCCATCATGTATTTCATACCCGTCCAGAACAAACATATTTCTGCTTTTAAATTTATAAAACTAACAAAAGGGTTTTCAAGTATACCCGAGAAATAATGGGCGGGTCGGGTCAATATCCTTGGCCCAAATACCCGGGGTCAGGTAATATTAGACCCGACCCGAACCCGACCTTGGGTCGGCCTAAACGGGTCGGGTCGGGTTGGGTCGGGTCGGGTCGGGTCGGGCTTATGCACACGCTGCTTGGCCGCCCCTCAAGGGGCTTCACGCACTCCGCCGTCTCATTTTCATCAACAAACCCCCCCACACCCTCCCCTTACTCTTCCCCCCTCCCCTTCCCTCCCCTACCGCCCCCCTCTCTCCCCCTCTTCCCCCCAGCTCCTCAACTGGGTGTCGCACACGCTACCGGGGCGCCCCTCAAGGGGCTCCACGCACTCCGCCTTCGCCATTGCGTGTCCTCCCAGCGTGTACCAACAAAGCCCCCCACACCCCCCCACTCCCATTACCCGCCTCCCTTCCATCCTCCCAGCTTCTCAACTGGGTGTCGCACACGCTGCTGGGGCGCCCCTCAAGGGGCTCAACGCACTCTGCCTTCGCCATCTCCCGCATGGCCTCCCAGACCGCCCCGGGCCTCGCCCCCTCTGACTCCCGAGCCAGCGCCGTAGGCTCGGCAGTGGCCGGCAGGCCCGCGTTCGCCCGGTCGGACACGTTTTTCCTGCGGGAGATGCGGACGACCGAGCTGCTGGGGAGGGCCGTGGTGGCGCCTGATAATGGGTGAGTGATGAGGGGTGACGAGCGGTGAGAATGGGTGAGAGGGGTGATAATGGGTGAGTGAACGGAGATGCGGACCCGGTACGTTCCTATCGTCCCTTCCTCTTCCTATGGGAGATGCGGACGTCTGAGCTGCTGGGGAGGGCCGTGGTGGCGCCTGATAATGGGTGGGTGATGAGGGGTGATGAGGGGTGATGAGCGGTGAGGATGGGTGAGTGCCGACGACATTGGGTGTGTGCGTGAACGGAGATGCGGACCCAGTACCTTTCCCTCCTCCCGTGGGAGATGCGGACGTCCGAGCGTGGTGGCGCCTGATAACGAGTGATGAGGGGTGATGATGGGTGAGTGATGAGGGGAGATAAGGGGTGAGTGAGAGAGGCGTGATTAGGCATGAGCAGGGTGCCCCGGCGGGTCAAAACCCGTGTCGGGTCAGGTGCTCTGAACCGCTGACCCGGCCGGGTCGGGTCGGGTATACCCGGGCGGGTCGGGTCGACTCGAGACCCGATTTCGGGTCGGGTCAGGTCGGGTCGGGTTTCGACTCGACTAGGGACTCGACCCGGTTTCGGGTACCGCGCCCTATGTCGGGTCGGGGTATCTGGCCCGACCCGAGGGTTTCCTCTCGACAAACTTAGCCAGATCGCAATCGCGTTTGTTTTGTTTTCCCGTGACTACCATTTCGATCTGGTTTAAGCTTAGGTAACTAGCTAGTGACGCCAGCAGCCACCCACCAAGCAACATTGGCATACTAATCTACCCAATAACCTACGATAATGTTTAGTTAGTACTCAGCCAATCGTTTTTTATAAGTTATTCGCACATCGCGCCATCCATTCTGGTTTTTTTATTTTAATCCGAAATTAACAGGTCGCGCTCCCTCTAACCCTAACCCTGCGTATGGGGGTCTGGCCCGACCCGACCCGACCCGGGCCTGACCCGAACCGACCAGGGGGCGGGTCACGCCTGACCCGGCACCCGATACCCGGGTCGGGCCAGAGATCTTGAAAGGTCCGACCCGACCCGACCCGACCCGGAACCCGGCTGGCCCGCCCAAGTCGGGTCGGGTCGGGTCGGGTCGGGCCTATTGATCATGCCTAGGCGTGATGGCGGGCGAGTGAGGGGCACCTGATAATGGCGAGAGTGGCTGACAGTGGTCGGTCACGTCCCTCCATCCCCTGCAGCGGTCGGTCCAGTTGCCATTGCACGACCTTTTGCCAGTTATTGCGAATGGCAGAACACCTCATTCTCAACCCCCCATCCCACTCCTCTTTTTGAGCCCGAAATCCATCTGATCATCCATCCTCTCCTCCCTGCCACTGCCACACTCCCATCCCCACTCCCCCACAATCAGCTACCGGCTGCGGTGGCAGCAGCTCACGGTCTCCTCATTCTCATTCGCCCATTCGCCCATTCGCCCATTCACGTCTCACAGCCACCCTCCCATTCATCTTGCTTTCCATCTTTGAGCCACCCCAATGCCCCGCCAATACTTTTTCCCTCCCCCTCCCCCACCCGCAGCTACCTGTTGCTGTGGCAGCAGCTTATCCTGGTTTCTACTCCGCCTTCATCACGCCGCTCGAGTTCTTCCAACTTTGGGTGTTTCAATGCCTTAATCGGTTCTTCCTTGTTGTTCTCTCCCCCTCCGCAACTCTCAGCTACCTGCTGTTGTGGCAGCAGCTCATCCTGGCGCTCTCCTTCTACTCCGCCTTCATCACGCCTCTCGAGTTCTTCCGACAGTGAGGTGTTTCAATGCCTTAATCGGTTCTTCCTTGTTGTTCTCTCCCCCTCCGCAACTCTCAGCTACCTGCTGTTGTGGCAGCAGCTCATCCTGGTGCTCTCCTTCTACTCCGCCTTCATCACGCCTCTCGAGTTCTTCCGACAGTGAGGTGTTTCAATGCCTCAATCGGTTCTTCCTTGTTGTTCTCTCCCCCTCCGCAACTCTCAGCTAGCTGCTGTTGTGGCAGCAGCTCATCCTGGCCCTCTCCTCTACTCCGCCTTCGTCACGCCTCTCGAGTTCTTTGAAACTTAAGGTGTTTCAATGCCTCAAACCGCTGCTCCCTCTCGTTCTCTCCCCCCCTCCCCAACCTCCCTCACCCCTCCCGCCCCCCTTCCCAATCAGCTACCTGCTGTTGTGGCAGCAGCTCGTCCTGGCGCTCTCCTTCTACTCTGCCTTCATCACGCCTCTCGAGTTCTCCTTCCTGCCCGCCCTGCCGCCCGGCCTCGCCATAGCGGATGGCGTCGTCAGCATCTTCTTCCTGGTTGACCTCATTCTCACATTCTTCGTGGCATTCAAAGACCAGAAGACGCAGAGATATGTCTGCGACCACTGGAGTATTGCTACCAGGTGAGGTGCAGTTGAATGCGGTTGAGTGCGGTCTCTCCTTAGCGGCCTCGCCATAGCGGACGGCGTCGTCAGCATCTTCTTTCTGGCCGACCTCATGCTCACATTCTTTGTCGCTTTCAAGGACCAGAAGACTCAGAGATATGTTTGCGACCACTGGAGTATTGCTACCAGGTGAGTTGCTGTGGAGTGCGGTGAGGTGTGGTATGGTGTGGTGCGGTGAAGCGTCGTCAGCATCTTCTTCCTGGCCGACCTCATTCTCACATTCTTCGTGGCATTCAAGGACAGGAAGACGCAGAGCTACGTCTGTGACCACTGGAGCATTGCTACCAGGTGAGGTGCGGTTGAGTTTGATGTGTTGATGTGAGTTTCTTCTTTCTAGCCGACCTGCTGCCCACCTTCTTGTGTGCCTTAAAAGAACACGTATATCCAGATCTATGCCTGTGACGACTGGAGCATTACTACTAGGTGAGGTGCGGTTGAATGCGGTGATTGGGAGGTGTGGGGTGGGGAGATTATGTGAGGGAGGTTAAGTGCTCTGGAGGTTGGCGAAGTGCAGTGCAGTGCGGTGCGTAAGCGTTGGATCAAAGAACTATCTTGTGATAGGGACTCGATTCTGTTGTGGACATTGCAAGTTAAGAGCGCCTAAGTGCGGTCCAACGCAGTGGGGTGTGGTGAGGCTAGATGTTATGAAGTCAGATAACTCACGGTTCGGCTTCGTGCAGTGAAACACGATTTGGGATCACCCCTTTGAAATGGCTTCCTGCTGTGATGTAGCCGTGTGCAGCTGTATGCCGCCCCTCCCTCCCTCCCTCCCTCCCTCCCTCCCTCCCTCCCTCCCTCCCTCCCTCCCTCCCTCCCTCCCTCCCTCCCTCCCTCCCTCCCTCCCTCCCTCCCTCCCTCCCTCCCTCCCTCCCTCCCTCCCTCCCTCCCTCCCTCCCTCCTGTATTTCTGCTGGTTCTCCTTTGGGTCGCTTTCTTTGCTTCATACAATTCACCTCCCCCCGCCCCCACCCCCCTTTCACCCCTGCTTAACGTACTCCCCCCCACCAACTCGATGCTCGCATGACAGGTACCTGTGCACCTTCTTCATTGTGGACCTGCTCGCGCTCTTCCCCTGGGACACCTTCTTCCAGGTACCACAAATGAGATGTTGATTGAGAAATGGAGCCTGGATCTGAATTGAATGAAGCAACACAGATGAATGTCCGAATTGTTGGTTGGACAGAAGCGTTATCCTTCTTTAAAACGTCATCGTCATTTTGTTACTTGTGACGTCCTCTATCCATTTATCATTAAATGGTAACAATATATACAAATATATATTCCGTATATGTATACACGTGTGTATATGTTGTATATATCCGTATTTGTATAAGGTACAAATCGACAGCATGGGTGCAGCCAAGGTGCAAAAAAACGACGTTTTTTTCAAAATTTGGCCGTTTTTTTCGATATCGTACCATACCATCGTATAAAACGAAAAAAAACGGTTAGGCCAAAAAAAAAAATTGGGTGAAAAAAAACGATCGTTTTTTTCAATCGTTTTTTTCGAACCACTTTTTATGCTTACCTTTACTTTGTAATTAACATGTTTTTAACTGTGCTGGTTTACCAAACCTACAAAAGCATGAAAAAAAAATGATTTCATGCCAGATTTTTCATCCAGTCGCTCACATTTTCTCTTTGTGCAGATGATATCGATTTTTATTTAATAAGTTCACTTGATACACTCCTATTCTATATGTTCGGTTTCATTAATAAACTATATTTCCAATATAATTGTTCTCGTACACATGCTTGTTGTATGTGTGGATGGTGATTGTTTTTATTTGTTTTGTTTTGTTCTGATATTGTTTTTTTTTTTTTTTTTTTTTTTTTTGTCTAACAAAAAAACGTCGTTTTTTTCCCAAAACCTGTCGTAAAATACAATCGTTTTTTTCAATCGTTTTTTTTCCGCAATCGTTTTTTTCCACCTTGGGTGCAGCACAACAACAGCAAGTGTGCCGAGTGGGTACAGGTTGAGGTAACCCTGAGTTTTTAAGTTACACATCTATGGCTTCTTATCACCCTTTTCTGTCTGGTATTTCTTTATTTTCTGTTCTCCATGAATCGCCGTTTTTCCTCTTTGGGGTTTCTCAGCTGGCAGGGGGGGAGGCGGGCGACAACCTGATGAGGTGGTTCTTGTGGACCCGCGTTGTGCGGACGCGCCACATCATGAGCTACTTTCACAGGTGTGTGTGTGTGTGCTGTGTGTGGCAGTGTGACTCGTATTTGTGCCTGCTCACATCACACAGTTTGCTCCTCCTGTGAGTTGCAACCTATGTGGTTCCTGTGGACCCGCGTTGTGAGGGCGCGCCACATCATGAACTACTTTCACAGGTGCGTGCTCTGCTCTGTGCAGCATTGTTGCCATGCTGCTCATTTTCTTGCGTGCTGCCTTGTATGTCCCATACACTTCTCCTGTGTACAGTCCATGCCTTGCATCTTCCAACCAGCATGGCTGCTTCCTTCCTCAGTCCACCGCCCACCGCGAGTCTGCTACAGACCATTCGTCTGCATTGGGTGTGTCAAGGGGTGCAGCTCATACTGCAACTCTCCACACCACACTAGTCTCTTCCCATCGTGCATCTCTTAGCCTCCACAGAACGTCTCTTCACTCACACCACCCGTGTGTGCCCCCACCAAGGATGAAAAATACGGTTTCCGTAAAATACGGTCCGTATTTTACGATCGTATTTTACGGTCAGATTTCAAAAATTCGACCGTATTTTTGTTAGAGATTTTCTTTTCTGCTAGGAAAAGAAAAACCAGACTTGCCACCAACCACCTTTAGGGATGCGAGCATTAGTGATATTGCCAACTATCAGGCCTAAGATGGTCTACAACAGATCTATGCCTTAAAAAACCGCTCCCGTATGAGTCCCCACGGAAACTCAAGACTAATATAGGCGTCCCCACTTGTGCGGCGAGTAAAAACGTTCTGGCGAGGGAAAAAATACTCGCGAATATTTTAATTCGCCGCATTCTTGACCCCTGCGCGACATGGCAGCGGGGTTCATAATCGTAGAGGCTAATTCGTCGCTTGAGGCTGCTTCGTCGCTTCACGTTTCTGCGTGACGAAATGTCAGCCAACTCAAACGCGGGAATTTTGCATCCCATTTTTTCCAGCTCACGCACTCCCCCCAACCGCTCTAAATCCCACTCCCTCTACCTAACCCAACCCAACCTTTCAAACATTTGCACTCTAACACTGGGTGAGATCTAGATCTCACTCGTACCTATTCTGCTGTGACACATTTTCCCATCACAATAGCGCCTGGAACATAGCGATTTCCTACTAACACGGTCCTATTTAATCCCCCCTTTCCCCACTTAAGGGGAGAGGCTTCGCACAAGGGGGTCTCCCTGCAATTTCTTTTTACAGTTTCATTGTCTCAAAAATTCGACCGTAAATTACGACCGTATTTTTGAACCAACCCTAAAACAGCACAATTTACCGTATTTTACCGTAAAATACGACCGTAAAATACGATTCCGTATTTTACGGTAAATTTTCAAAAATACGACCGTATTTTTGTTCCCTGGCCCCCACCAAGCAGGTTGCAGCGCGGCAGGCATCCATGTGAGCTACTTCGCGGTGCGCGTCACAAAGTGAAGCCCACCTTAGTTTCCCACACTATGGCGCACGCTGCCTTATTCCCCCTTGCGCACTCCCCCCTCTCTCCCCATCACCCAGGCCACAGTGGAAAGTAGGCAGTGCGCGTGGCAAGTGAAGCCCATGTTGTTCGAGCTGTTCCCCACCCACACTGCACTCCGCTGCATCTCCCCCCACCACGCACGCAGGCTACAGCGCGACATCCATGTGAGCTGCTTCGCAGTGCGCGTAACCAAGCTCATCTTCATCACTCAACCATGGGGACTCTCCTGTTTCCTTCATCTGCATGTCTCATCCCCTTTCTCGAAATCTCCCCTCACCACGCACGCAGGCTACAGAGGGACATCCACGTGAGCTACTTCGCAGTGCGCTTGGCGAAGCTCATATTCATCGAGCTCTACATCACCCAACTGTGCGGATTGTCCTATTCCCCTATTTGCAACTCTTTCCTCTCCCCCACCCTCCATGCAGGTTGCAGAGGGACATCCACGTGAGCTACTTCGCAGTGCGCGTGGCGAAGCTCATATTCATCGAGCTCTACATCACCCACGTGGCCGGCTGCTTCTTCTACTTCCTCGCCACCACCTACCCTCCTGACGAGGTTGGTCAGTCAGAGCCACCATTTATCAGGTGGGAATTACATGTAGGCTAAGGTGGGCCAGATTCACCACCCACCTACGTGGGTGGGAGGCATCATATGTTCTCTTAAATCTATGAATGGAAAGCTTCTGGGTCAGGAAGCAGCGCTCGCAGCTTTCAAGAAAGGTGTTGGATTGCTGCTCATTAGTCTGGACTTGGAAGTGGAGGTGTGGTCATACTCGATTTGTGACTTCAAGTGCGGTCTGGCATTCGACAGTGCCATGTACCATATCAATTCCGAAAAGCACCGCTCCTGCGTGCAGCCGATTCCTTCATGCGGGTGCGGCGCTGTTCAGAATTGATATGGTACATGGCACTGTCGAGCGCCAGGCCGCATTCGAAGTCGCAAAGCGAGCAGGACCACACCTCCACGTCCAAGTCCAGACCAATGAGCAGCAATCTAGGATCTTTCTTGAAGGCCACAGCCTGCTAACCCATAATCTTTTTATTCATAGAAGAGATCATATGTACGTGCACACCGTTCACCGTTTTTTGCATGCCACCACTGAACCAAATGTAGTGCGAACCTTCATTTCCCTCTTGGACCGCGTCGCGTCCGAGTCATGTGTATGTAGCATACATGCTTTGCCTGGACGTTGTTCGGCTCACATGTGATGTGACACACACTGTTCACATGTGATGTGACACACACTGTTCACATGTGATGTGACATACACTGTTCACATGTGATGTGACACACGCACTGTATTCACATGTGATGTGACACACACACACACATACACTGTTCACATGTGATGTGTTATACACCCACTGTTCGCATGTGATGTGACACACACACACACATACACTGTTCACATGTGATACACACTGTTCACATGTGATACACACTCTTCACATGTGATGTCACACACACTGTTCACATGTGATGTGACACACACTACTCACATGTGATGTGACACACACTGTTCACATGTGATGTGTACACACTGTTCACATGTGATGTGACACACACTGTTCACATGTGATGTGACACACATTTCACATTTTAGTTGGCGATTTACGTTTACGGGGTTTTACGTGACTTTACGTAGTAAAATTACGTTTACTTACGTGGCCCCAAAACGGCTTTACGTTTACTGTCAGCCAGAAACATTTCTGGCTGCCCGGAAAGATAAGAATTCGTCGGACTAAGGCTGCATGGAAGCGCCTAATCAATCACTAGCTTGGTTCGTCTATGCCCAAGCATGTTAGCACATTATTACATCAACTTACAGATGCCCGAAATCTACACTGACATCTCACAGCCTCTCCCACCTCATATCAGTCAGAAATTTCCATTTCGCGGAGAAAAAAAAAAAAAAATTCATACGCGTAAGAAAACGTAAAGGTAAACTCAACGTAAGTTTACGTTTACGTGACCCTAAAACGTAAAGGATCAACTAAGCTTCACATGTGATGTGACACACACTTCACATGCGATGTGACACACACTATTCACATGTGATGTGTCACCACTGTTCACATGTGACGTGACACACACACTGTTCACATGTGATGTGACACATTGTTCGCTTACATTGTGCTACGATGGCGCAGTCCGAGGTGTGGATATTGCAAGTGTCCAGGTCAATTCTAAGTGTCTTGCACTTTGTTTCTATATTGCTCTACCACGTTTCCTCAGGCAACCTTTGGGCGTAATTTGATTAACACAATCAAACTCTACCATCATCTTTCGCGCACTTGCTTGTGCCTACCAATCCCCGGCTTTGCACTTTGACGGCCTTGCACTTGGATGGCCTTGCAGGAGGGCAGCACGTGGATAGGCAGTCTGACGCTGGGTGACCTGACTTACACCAACTTCCGGGAGATGGACCTGTACACGCGCTACTTCACGTCGCTCTATTGGTCCGTCATCACCATGGCCACCATCGGTGAGTGCTCTCCCCCCCATTGAGAATGCAGCTTGAGTTGGTGATGGAGGGCCACCATTGGCGAGTGCAGTTTGAGTCATCACCATGGCCACCATTGGTGAGTGCAGCTGTGTGTTTATACGCCCAGTATGAAGTCTTTGAGGTTTTGATGAGGGTCATCGGCAGTTGATCAGCAAGAGGGAGTACAAGAAGCGGGATATGATGATGATAGTGGGCGTGTGATCGCAGGGGTGTCGACCATGCTCAACAGCAAGGAATTTGTGCATGGCGAAGTTTGTCGAGCGCATCGACCCAACTTCAAACTAGGTAAGAAGCTTGTCGAGAATCTGCTGGCACGCTCAAGTGGTTGGGCCTTCACCATCAGCAGTGCGCTTCTCCCATTTAGCACGCTGAACACGTCGCCGCAGCTGCTCAACATACTTCACTGGCTCGTGCAACTCTTCGTCTACAACCATGCCACTTCCGACACCCACTCCGCACCATCAGCGCCGTCGTCCCCATTGGAAGAAGCTTTGCAAACGGGGGCGATGCATCCTTTGTGACAGCTGCTCTTGAAACATAGTTCGGGCGAAATTTTGGCGGTGCTTCCTTTGCAGAAACTGCTTGCTTCAGCAGTGGCGCAGCTTTACGCTCTTTAACACGCAAAAATCCGCCTGAACGTGTTTCCAAAGCAGCCGCCGCAAAGGACGCACTGCTCCCGCTTGCGCCGCTCCCTTCGATGGTCGACGACGACGCTGACGGTGCTGAGTGGGTGTCGGTGGTGGCATTGTTGTCGGCGAAGAGCTGCACGAGCCAGTGCAATATGTCGAGCAGTTGCAGCGACATGCTCGACGTGTTGAATGAGAGCAGCGCGCTGCTAATGGTGAATGCCCAGCCATTTGAGCGTCGCCAATAAATTCTTGTCAGGCTTCTCGCTCAGCTTGAAATTCGGATCGATGTGTTTGAAACAGAACTTCGCCATGCACAATTTTTTGTTTTCCTGCAGTTGAAAGCGTTTGCTGCCGTTGTCGAACCACGCTTGCATTAGGTAATCAGCCACGCACTCGCACCACTTTTGCTACTCCTTGCTGATCAACCAATGACCCTCTTCCAACTTCCTAACCAATTCCTCCTCTTGAATCTGCATCTTCATGGATTCTGTTAGGCTCCAATAGCCTTGTCACTACCAAACCTAATGAAGTGAGGACAGGACGGCTGGGGGGGGCAATGTTGTGCATGTCCTCCTCAACTGTTCTCGGTCGATTAGCTTCGTCTTGCGTGTTTGCCTGGATCTCGCTCGATCAACTTTGACGGTGGCGAGGCCATATGGCACAACTTCTTCCTTCCTGGCTGTCCTCGCTTGACTAGCTTTGGCTGGTCTCCCCACCTGTTTCTTGCTGCATGTTGCCCCATCCGCCTTCCTTCTTATTTCCAAACCATGGTGACACGTACACACCCCATGAGTCGCAATACTTGCTCCTCCCATGCATTTGTTCCTTTCTACTGCCTCTGCCCCATATCACCCTTCCAGGGTATGGAGACGTGCATCCAGTGAACGCACGTGAGATGGTGTTTGCCATGGCTTACATCTCCTTTGACCTTGTCCTCTCCGCCTACCTCGTTGGTGAGCTATGCTATGCCATGTCATGCCAGGCCATACACTGCCAGGCCAGGCCATGCCATGTCATACCATGCCATTCCACTCCATGCCCTGCCATGCCATGCCACTCCATCCCATACCGTGCCATTGCATGCCATGTCATGCCATTCCACGCCCTGCGCCACGAGATTCCCTTCCGTACCCTGCTGTTCCATGCCATTCCATTCCATGCCATGCCGTGCTATATCATTCCAAGCAATAGTATGCTAAGCGATTTCATGCATTTCCATGCCCCGTGCTATTCCACTTTATGCCATGTCATTCCATGCTGTGCCATGCCATTGCATACCATGCCATGCCAAGCCATTCCGTATGCTATGCTATGCCATGACATGCCCTTCCATGCCGTGCCATACCGTTCCATGCCTCGCCATGCCATGCCCCTTGCACACCACCATGGCGCCCTGCACCCCCCTGTGCCCCGTGCTGGCAACATCACGGTGATGGTGGTGAAGGGGTGTTTATGCTGCCGCCATTGCGCCTCACACCCCGTTGCACCTCGTTTTGCCCCGAGCAGGCAACATTACGACAATTGTGGTGAAGGGGTGTTTATGCTGCCACCGTTGTCTTGTCGCTTAGCCTGTGCCTCACACCCCATTGCACCCCATTGCACCCCGTTGCACCGCATGCAGGCAACATCACGGCGATGGTGGTGAAGGGGTCCAACACAACGCGGTACCGTGAGAAGATGTCGGCGCTGATCAAGTACATGAACCGCAACCACCTGCCACACTCCCTCCAGCAGCAGATGAGGCAGGTGAGAGGGACGAGGATGCAGGTGGAGGAGTGAGCGTGGCGTGGAGGTGATTTTCTCTCTCGTGGGTGGGGAAGGCATTCCCTCGTCTCGTCTCATCCGTTGTTATCAGTAGATGACGAGCCTCGTGTGGCTGCATTGCTCTCATCCCTCACCCATGTTGTCTTCTTCTCTCCCACCTCACAAGTTCAAACAGAGCGGGTGCTGGATGAGGTGATGGAGGGATTTCCTCTCACCGTCCTCCCACGATGCTTAGGCTTTGCCCCCACCGCCCTCTCCCTCCCCACATGTCCCTGCTGCTACCACTCCATATCCGTCCGCCCATACCCGACACCGGCACGTGAGGCTGCAGTTTGAAACAGAGCAGGTGGAGGATGAGGTGATGGAGGAGTTTGGGGGCCTTTCTATGCCGCCATTTATCTGAACCCTCCCACCCACCCATCACCCTACTCACCCACCCATGCATCCACCACCACAGCATGTGCGGCTGCAGTTTGAAACAGAGCAGGTGGAGGACGAGGTGATGGAGGAGTTTCCTCTCAGCATTCGTCACAAGGTGGCGCGCGCCCTCTACCAAAGAGCCGTTGAGGCCTGCTACCTCTTTGACGGGTGCTCGGGAGAATGCATAAACCAGATTGTAAGTGGTGCTGTGCGGTGGTGTGTGGTTATCTCCTCTCAGCATTCGCCACAAGGTGGCGCACGCCCTCTACCAACGAGCTGTTGAGGCCTGCTACCTCTTCGATGGGTGCTCCGGGGAATGCATCAACCAGATCGTAAGTGGTTCTTAGTGGGATGGAGTTCCATACTCGGAGTTTCCTCTGAGCATTCGCCACAAGGTGGCGCGTGCCCTCTACCAACTCGCTGTAGGCCTGCTACCTCTTCGACGGCTGCTTGGGGGAATGCATCAACCGGATCGTGAGTGTCTCTGTCTGGTTTTTTTTTGTCGACTGAAGAAATTGTGAGTATCATTGTATGGAGTAGAGTTTTTATTTAAAATCCTACACAAACACTTGCCACTTGAACAGATCGTGAGTGGTGCTGTGTGGAATAGAGCTTTTTTGGAAACCACACCTACCAGCGCACCCTTGTCGCCTGCTGCTGCCTCTTCCATGTGCCCGGGAACGTGCATCAAGCAGACCGTGCTGTGCGGTGCTTGCAGGTAATGAGCATTGTGCCCGAGTACTGCCTTGTGCCCCTTGTCCGACATTCCACCCACTGTATGCGGTGTGGTGCGGTGCTTCCAGGTAGCGCGTGCCGCCCCCGAGTACTACTACCCGCTGCAGATGCTGATTCAAAAGAGCAACAATGCACCCGCTTTCCCCTTCTCTTCACCCATCCCCTCGCCTCGTGTAGCGCATGCGGTCCCCGAGTACTACTATCCGCTGGAGGTGCTCATTCAGAAGAACAGCACCATGCGTCCCCCCTTCCTCCAAGCCCTGCTATGCTGTGTGGTGCTGTGCGGTGCTGTGCTCTCATTGCAGGTAGCACGCGCAGTCCCAGAGTACTACTACCCGTTGGAGGTGCTCATTCAGAAGAACGACGCCGCAGAGCACATGTTCATCGTCTGCTCCGGCATCGTCCAGGAAGATTCCTGCGTGCACGGCGAGGGGACGGATGACGAGCACCGGGCGACCCTCACGGCCGGCAATGTGAGTTCCACGGACGTGCTGGGGCCTGCTGGGGTCGTGCTGGGTCGCGCTGGGCCTGCTGGCATGGGGAGTGGCAGCTGAGAGTGGGGACCTGGCGCAGGAAGATAGGGCTTGGGGAAGAGTGTAATGGGGAGGGGTGTAATGGGGAGGGGTGTAATGGGGAGGGGTGGACTTGAGGGTATGCTCAGGTTCAGATGATTGATGGTTAGCGCATTCAGCGGGATGAGATGGTTCGGTGGGCACTGTTTAATGGGCATAGTTTGGTGGGGCATGGTTTGGTGGGGCATGGTTTGGTGGGCATGGTGTGGTGGGCACGGTGTGGTGGGGCATGTTGTTCAGCCTTATCGAGTAGCAGGGCTCCCCTCCCTCTCCCTTCCCAGCCTCGCGTGTGTCTCTTTTTCTCCCCTCCCCTGTGTTTCTCACAGTGATCCCCTTTCCTCTCCTCTGCTGACTCCTCACACTCTACTCTCCTCTCCTCTCCATCTTTACTTGCCCTGCCCATGTATTGGCTCATTTCTCTTTCATCTCCCGGCCTCCCTGTCCCCCCTATTTCTACCCACCGCACGTGCAGATGTGTGGGGAGGTGGCGCTGCTGTGCAACATACTGCAGCCCTTCACAGTCACGGCCAAGGAGCTCACCCAGGTGACCCACTCTCATTACAATGGGTATGTGACTATAACAAATGAATTGTGACTGTACTAAGCTGAACCTAATTGCGACTGCGATAGGTTGGGTTGGATATTCATGCTTGAACCGTGGTTTGACTAGGGCTGTCAAATGCATGTGTTCACACTCCATGCATGTGTTCACACTCCATGCATGTGTTCACACTCCATGCATGTGTTCACACTCCATGCATGTGTTCTCACTCCATGCATGTGTTCTCACTCCATGCATGTGTTCACACTCCATGCATGTGTTCACACTCCATGCATGTGTTCACACTCCATGCATGTGTTCACACTCCATGCATGTGTTCTCACTCCATGCATGTGTTCTCACTCCATGCATGTGTTCACACTCCATGCATGTGTTCACACTCCATGCATGTGTTCACACTCCATGCATGTGTTCACACTCCATGCATGTGTTCTCACTCCATGCATGTGTTCACACTCCATGCATGTCTTCTCACTCCATGCATGTGTTCTCACTCCATGCATGTGTTCTCACTCCATGCATGTGTTCTCACTCCATGCATGTGTTCTCACTCCATGCATGTGTTCTCACTCCATGCATGTGTTCTCACTCCATGCATGTGTTCTCACTCCATGCATGCTCACTTCCTCCCAATGCATGTGTTCATTCATGTGTGAGTGCATGTGTTTGCATGCACGCCTGCATGGATGTGTGCGTCCATTCATGAAACTATGTGTGTGCATCCATGCATGTGTACATGCATGTGTGTGAATCCATGCATGTGTGTGCATGCATGCATGTGTACATGCAGGTACTGCGCATCGACCGCCAGTCCCTCTCTATAGTCACATCGCTCTTCATTGTGGATGGTCGTCGCATGGTGGACAACTTGCTGCAGGTGGGGGTAGATAAAGTGCACACCTTGATTAAGCGAGGCTAGATTAGGGTACACCCTAACTAGTTGGGGCTAAATAAGTGTGCGCCCTTATCAGTTGGCAGTAGATAAGAGTACCCTGATTAGGTGGGGCTAGACGATTGCATACCCGTATCCAGTGCGGCTAGATAAGTGCACGCCCTTATAAAGTGTAACTAGATAAGTCCACGACGTTGTTATGACTCAACTCCCATGGCACCCTTCCCCCACATCACACACGGCGCTCGGAGGAGGCGAGCAGCACCTTGTGGGGCTGGTGGCAGTGATGGGGGCGCTGGCAGGCAACATTGCAGGGGGGCCGGTCGGACAGTGAGGGGCGAGCTTCGTCCCATCCATCGCATCTCTCCATGCGTTCCTCTCGCCTTGCCCCCACAGCGCTCAGAGGATGCGGGCAGCAAGTTTGGGGGTGTGGTGGCGGAGAGAGAGGCGCTGGTGGGGGCACCGTACACGGCGCATCACACCACGTGCACATACATGAACCCGCTCCCATCCCACCGTTCCCTCTCCATCCCATCACATGCCCCACAGCGGTCGGAGGAGGCGGGCAGCAAGTTGGCGTGGCTGGCAGAGGAGATAAAGGCGCTGGTGGGGTGGAGCAGTGTGTGCTCGCCATGTTCGATGGGTGATGGAAAGCTCACTCTCACTCTCACTCTCACTCTCACTCTCACTCCCGTTACACCCTTCCCTCACAGCGGTCACAGCGGTCAGAGGAGGCGGGCAGCAAGTTCGGCGGACTGGCAGCGGAGATAGAGGCGCTGGTGGGGGCAGTGTGCACAGCACAGTACACCATGACATGCCATGTGCACATGACATGACCCCACTCCCATCCCGTTGCACCATTTCCCCACAGCGGTCGGAGGAGGCGGGCAGCAAGTTCACAGGGCTGGCAGCAGAGATAGAGGCGCTGGTGGCGGCGCAGGAGGCGGATCTGACAGTGAGCACCATCTATGCCGCGTGGACCGGTGACATGCCCCAGCTGCAGCAGCTGCTGGCTGCCGGGGCCAAGGCGGACAGAGCTGACTACGACGGCCGCACGCCCCTGGTAGGGCTGCCCACGATGGTCGCACGCCCCTGGTAGGGCTGCCCACGATGGTCGCACGCCCCTGGTAGGGCTGCCCACGATGGTCGCACGCCCCTGGTAGGGCTGCCCACGATGGTCGCACGCCCCTGGTAGGGCTGCCTTGGGTTGCATTTGGTTCTTTGCAGCTGTACGATCGCCTTGGCTTTTGCTTTGCTTTGCTTGCTTGTGTGTATTTCTCATTGCCAGGGCGCCCAGGCAACGTGGCTCGGCTGCAGCAGCTGCTGGCTGCAGGGGCTGAGGGAGGAGGGCAGAGCTAACTTCTTCGCCCTGCTTCCCTCCCGGCCTCCTCTCCCCTTCCGCCACAGCACCTGGTAGCAGCGGGGGGTCACAACGACCCCCCGCTGCTGGAGGGGGCGCAGGTCAATAGCTTGTTTAATCGTCACCTCGCAAACTCACATCTCCCTACTACCTACTTGGCAGCACCTGGCAGCAGCGGGGGGTCACAACGACTTGGTGCGGCTGCTGCTGCTGGAGGGCGCGCATGTGAACGCGGTGGACAACTTTGGCACCACGCCGCTGCTGGAAGCACTCAGGGCCGGCCACGATGAGACCGCTGCTATCCTCGCCAGTAAAGGCGGGACTGTGGGGCTGCAGGTCTGTGTATGGGGGGTAGCTTGCAGGTGAACGCAGGTGCACACAGCCTCCTGTGGATGTGTTGCAGGTGAACGCGGTGGACAACTTCGGCACCACGCCGCTGCTCGAGGCTCTGCGGGCGGGGCATGATGAGACTGCCGCCATCCTTGCCAGTAAAGGGGGCACTGTGGGGTTGCAGGTGCGTGCTTGGGTTGACCTCCAATTGAGCTCTGGATGTGCCATGGTAAGGGCTGGCCATGATGAGACCGCTGCTATTCTCGCCAGCAAGGGGGGCACCGTGGGGCTGCAGGTGCGGGGACTGTCTTGGCTGGTTCTCTCTTGTGTGGGGCTGCATGCTACCACACCCACAGGAGGCTGCGCGTGGCCATGGCAGCACGCAACACAGCGCTGCTGCAGTGCTTGCTGTTGCACGGGGCATGCTGAAGCGCCTTGAAATGGCCATCCATTCTTTCATTCGTCCACATGCCTCTCGTTCTCCTGCCTCACGACCTTCACTGTCTGCCCTTCTCTGTCACACGCACAGGTGGCAGGGCCAGTGCTGTGTGCAGCAGTGGCAGCAGCAGACACGGACCTGCTGCAGCGCCTCCTGTCACACAGAGCATGCTGAGGCGCCTCAAAGGGACCGTCCATCCATCCATCCGTCCGTCCGTGTGCCTCTCTCTCCTGCCCTCTCCCTCCCTTTCTCTGCCCCCACAATCCACAGGAGGCAGGACCTGTCCTCTGTGCGGCGGTGGCAGCTGCGGATACAGACCTGCTGCAGCGCCTGCTGTCGCACGGGGTGCATCCCAATGCGAGTGACTACGACCAGCGCTCCCCGCTGCACATCGCTGCCATCAAGAGCCACCTGCATGTTGAGGGCCGCCCATGCACCCATCCGCCCATGCGTCTCTCTCCTGCCCCTCCTCCTCTCTCCCTCTCTCCTCTCTTTCCCTCCCCCTCATCTCACCCACCCACAGGAGGCTGGACCTGTCCTGTGTGCAGCGGTAGCAGCAGCGGACACAGAGTTACTGCAGCGTCTGCTGTCGCACGGGGTGCATCCCAATGCGAGTGACTACGACCAGCGCTCCCCGCTGCACATCGCTGCCATCAAGGGCCACCTGCACGTCGCCCGCCTACTCGTCGACCACCACGCTGACGTGGCGGCCCGTGATAGGTGCGCGAGGGCCCCATAGATTCTGTGCAGTTAGGTGGTTCCAGGCTTTTGAGGATTGTCAAGGTAATGCATGCGCAAGGCAGGGCAGGGCTGCATGTGCAAGGCAGGGCTGCATGTGCAAGGCAGGGCTGCATGTGCAAGGCAGGGCTGCATGTGCAAGGCAGGGCTGCATGTGCAAGGCAGGGCTGCATGTGCAAGGCAGGGCTGCATGTGCAAGGCAGGGCAGGGCTGCATGTGCAAGGCAGGGCTGCATGTGCAAGGCAGGGCTGGGCTGCATGTGCAAGGCAGGGCTGCATGTGCAAGGCAGGGCTGCATGTGCAAGGCAGGGCTGCATGTGCAAGGCAGGGCTGCATGTGCAAGGCAGGGCTGCATGTGCAAGGCAGGGCTGCATGTGCAAGGCAGGGCTGCATGTGCAAGGCAGGGCTGCATGTGCAAGGCAGGGCTGCATGTGCAAGGCAGGGCTGCATGTGCAAGGCAGGGCTGCATGTGCAAGGCAGGGCTGCATGTGCAAGGCAGGGCTGCATGTGCAAGGCAGGGCTGCGTGTGCAAGGCAGGGCTGCATGTGCAAGGCAGGGCTGCATGTGCAAGGCAGGGCTGCATGTGCAAGGCAGGGCTGCATGTGCAAGGCAGGGCTGCGTGTGCAAGGCAGGGCAGGGCTGCATGTGCAAGGCAGGGCTGCATGTGCAAGGCAGGGCTGGGCTGCATGTGCAAGGCAGGGCTGCATGTGCAAGGCAGGGCTGGGCTGCATGTGCAAGGCAGGGCTGCATGTGCAAGGCAGGGCTGCATGTGCAAGGCAGGGCTGGGCTGCATGTGCAAGGCAGGGCTGCATGTGCAAGGCAGGGCTGCATGTGCAAGGCAGGGCTGCATGTGCAAGGCAGGGCAGCATGTGCAAGGCAGGGCTGCATGTGCAAGGCAGGGCTGCATGTGCAAGGCAGGGCTGCATGTGCAAGGCAGGGCTGCATGTGCAAGGCAGGGCTGCATGTGCAAGGCAGGGCTGCATGTGCAAGGCAGGGCTGCATGTGCAAGGCAGGGCTGCATGTGCAAGGCAGGGTTGCATGTGCAAGGCAGGGCTGCATGTGCAAGGCAGGGCTGCATGTGCAAGGCAGGGCTGCATGTGCAAGGCAGGGCTGCATGTGCAAGGCAGGGCTGCATGTGCAAGGCAGGGCTGCATGTGCAAGGCAGGGCAGGGCTGCATGTGCAAGGCAGGGCTGCATGTGCAAGGCAGGGCTGCATGTGCAAGGCAGGGCTGCATGTGCAAGGCAGGGCTGCATGTGCAAGGCAGGGCTGCATGTGCAAGGCAGGGCTGCATGTGCAAGGCAGGGCTGCATGTGCAAGGCAGGGCTGCATGTGCAAGGCAGGGCTGCATGTGCAAGGCAGGGCTGCATGTGCAAGGCAGGGCTGCATGTGCAAGGCAGGGCTGCATGTGCAAGGCAGGGCTGCATGTGCAAGGCAGGGCTGCATGTGCAAGGCAGGGCAGGGCTGCATGTGCAAGGCAGGGCTGCATGTGCAAGGCAGGGCTGCATGTGCAAGGCAGGGCTGCATGTGCAAGGCAGGGCTGCATGTGCAAGGCAGGGCTGCATGTGCAAGGCAGGGCTGCATGTGCAAGGCAGGGCTGCATGTGCAAGGCAAGGCAGGGCTGCATGTGCAAGGCAGGGCTGCATGTGCAAGGCAGGGCTGCATGTGCAGGGCAGGGCTGCATGTGCAAGGCAGGGCAGGGCTGCATGTGCAAGGCAGGGCTGCATGTGCAGGGCAGGGCTGCATGTGCAAGGCAGGGCAGGGCTGCATGTGCAGGGCAGGGCTGCATGTGCAAGGCAGGGCAGGGCTGCATGTGCAAGGCAGGGCAGGGCTGCATGTGCAAGGCAGGGCAGGGCTGCATGTGCAAGGCAGGGCAGGGCTGCATGTGCAAGGCAGGGCAGGGCTGCATGTGCAAGGCAGGGCAGGGCTGCATGTGCAAGGCAGGGCAGGGCTGCATGTGCAAGGCAGGGCAGGGCTGCATGTGCAAGGCAGGGCTGCATGTGCAAGGCAGGGCAGGGCTGCATGTGCAAGGCAGGGCTGCATGTGCAAGGCAGGGCTGCATGTGCAAGGCAGGGCTGCATGTGCAAGGCAGGGCTGCATGTGCAAGGCAGGGCTGCATGTGCAAGGCAGGGCTGCATGTGCAAGGCAGGGCTGCATGTGCAAGGCAAGGCAGGGCTGCATGTGCAAGGCAGGGCTGCATGTGCAAGGCAGGGCTGCATGTGCAGGGCAGGGCTGCATGTGCAAGGCAGGGCAGGGCTGCATGTGCAAGGCAGGGCTGCATGTGCAGGGCAGGGCTGCATGTGCAAGGCAGGGCAGGGCTGCATGTGCAGGGCAGGGCTGCATGTGCAAGGCAGGGCAGGGCTGCATGTGCAAGGCAGGGCAGGGCTGCATGTGCAAGGCAGGGCAGGGCTGCATGTGCAAGGCAGGGCAGGGCTGCATGTGCAAGGCAGGGCAGGGCTGCATGTGCAAGGCAGGGCAGGGCTGCATGTGCAAGGCAGGGCAGGGCTGCATGTGCAAGGCAGGGCTGCATGTGCAAGGCAGGGCAGGGCTGCATGTGCAAGGCAGGGCTGCATGTGCAAGGCAGGGCTGCATGTGCAAGGCAGGGCTGCATGTGCAAGGCAGGGCAGGGCTGCATGTGCAAGGCAGGGCAGGGCTGCGGGCCAGCCTGCTCTCTCCATGCCTCCCCATCCCTTGCCATGCTTTTCCCTCTTCTTCATGTTTCTCCATGTCTCTGCTTATCCCTCCATGTCTCTCCATGTCTCTGCTTATCCCTCCATGTCTCTCCATGTCTCTCCTTATCCCTCCATGTCTCTCCATGTCTCCCCTGCATGACCACTCCTTCCCATTTTTCCCTTGCTGCCTCTCCTTTGTCCTGAACCAACCTCCTGGCAGGTGGGGAAGCACCCCATTGGATGAGGCTCGCCGATGTGGCAGCCTGCCATTGGTGCGATTTCTGGAGGAGGTGGGAGCGCGTCAGGCAAACCGAGCTCACTCTGCTGTAGCCACTGCGGCTGCTACAACTGCGGCTGCTACAACTGCGGCTGCTACAACTGCGGCTGCTACAACTGCTGCTGCCGCCACTGCTGCTGCCGCCACTGCCGCTGCCGCCACTGCCGCTGCCGCCACTGCCGCTGCCGCCACTGCTGCAGCTCCAGTCGCTCCCCCTCCTACCGCTGCCACCCTGTCCGCAACTGCCGGTCCCACCGTACCCCAATCCCCCTCTGCAGGGAGGCAGCTTCTCAGGGAGGTGGGTGCAAGAGAGGCGGCTGGGGGATTGGATGATGGGGGGGAGAAGGGTGATGGGGTAGAGGTTGGGAGCAAGCAGCATACGGTGCAGGAGCAAGGAGAGGACAGGGGGGAGAAGGAGCAAAGACGGGACGGGGAGGAGCATAAGGAGCGTGGAGAGGAGGGTGGCAAGCACGGCACATGAGGGCCATGGCAGGAGCTGGTGGTGGGGTAAAGGGTGGGGAGCAAGCAGCATACAGCGCAGGAGTAAAGACGGGACAGGGAGAAGCATAAGGAGCGTGGAGAGGAGGGTGACAAGCTTGGCACATGAGGGCCATGACAGGAGCTGGTGGTGGGGGGCGATAGAGGGGGGGTTATCGAGGCGTTGTCCAGGGACAGGAGCGAGAGTCGCAAGGATGGTGCACAGGGAGTGATTGTGACAGGAGCTCGAGTAGCACAAATGACGCACAGGCAGTGATTGGGACAGGATCTAGAGTCGCAAGGATGACACAGGCGGTGATTGGGACAGGAGCGAGAGTTGCAAGGATGGCGCACAGGCAGTGATTGGGACAGGAGCGAGAGTTGCAAGGATGGCGCACAGGCAGTGATTGGGACAGGTGCGGAGCTGTGACAGCACGTGGTGCGGTGGTCCTGGAATTAAAGACCGGGTGTGGTACCTTTAGAATGATGTGTTTAAAGCGGCGGTATACATTTGGCAGAACTGTTTGGGTGTGTACAGTGCACAGACCTTTTTCGCCTGAACGAATAAAAAACAGAGTGGCGAATGTGTTCGCGAAAGTCCGACTCGAAGGGTCTGTGAGAAGCAGGGGTGGGGAAGTTGAGAGCACAAAACCCAACGGTATCACTTCTGCTCTCGCAACACAACGCTTCCTCTCACTTCAAAGAATAATCGCTCGCCAATGGATAGTTAGAACAAGCCGGCAGTTGACCTAGAAAGTTCGAGGCCACCAGCGCGCGACAGAATTGCACCATCAGCAGAGCATAGCAGCGCGACACGTGCAGGCATAGGCGGGCGCCAGCACATCGAGCGCCAGGTACGCTCGCGCGGAAGCAAAGGGTCTAATTGCAGGCACGCCCGCGCCAGGGAAACGTTCGCCAGATGCGTGCGCCCCGCCAGCCTGCCTACTGCATCTATGCTGTCGTTTCGCCAGCGTCACTTCCGACGCATATTTAGGCATTCCGCGCGCTCCAGCACAGCGCGCGGATACCAATCCTCGTGCAATAAATGCGCCTATAAAACGCCCGCTGCAACGCGAAGCGCGGCTGCATAGCGAGCGCGTGTGACGCTTGCGGTGCAGCAAACATCACGCTGTCCCATGCGCGCGCGCGGATGCGAAGTGCCATTCAGAACCGCGCGTCCCGCTAGCCAGCTTACTGCAGCCGCCAGCAACGCTAGCAGCCGCCAGCGCGCTTCTGAGCTTTCCGCCGCCCACATCCGCCAACATCCGCGTTCCCCCGTCCGCATTTCCCCGTCCGCATTCCCTCCGCGCGCACTCGCTCCCAAGCGCGCATTCGCTCCGCTCATACTCGCTCCTGCACCGCGCATTCGCTCCCCCCGCGCGCACTCGCTCCCCCCGCACGCACTCGCTCCCCCCGCACGCACTCGCTCCCCCAGCGCGCATTCGCTGCCCCCGCGCGCACTCGATCCCCCCGCGCTCACTCGCTCCCTTCGCTCGAACTCGCTCCCCCACCGCGCGCTCGCTCCCCCCGCGCGCACTCGCTCCATTTGCTCCCCCCGCGCGCACTCGCTCCATTCGCTCCCCCCGCGCTCACTCGCTCCCCCCGCGCGCATTCACTAGCCCCGCATGCACTCCCTTTTCCGCCGGCATGCACGCACCCCCCTGCATCCCCTCCTTTCCCTCCCCGTTTCCCCTCCTTTCCCTCCCTGTTTCCCCTCCTTTCCCTCCCTGTTTCCCCTCCTTTCCCTCCCTGTTTCCCCTCCTTTCCCTCCCTGTTTCCCCTCCTTTCCCTCCCGGCATCCCCTCCTTTCTCCCCCTGCACTGCATCTCCTCCTTTCCCCCCCTGAATCCCCTCCTTTTCCTCCCCGTTTCCCCCCCTTACCTTCATTCCCCCACTCTGCTTGCCCCTTTTCCTCTCCATCCCCTCTCGTTCCTTCACTCTCCTCCCACGTCCCGTCCCTCTCTTTCCCCGTCAAATCTCCTCCCTGCCATCTTCTCTCTCGTCCAATCTTCTTCTAGCCCCTTGTTTTCCCCCTTGCTAGCCCCCTGTTCCCTACCCCGACCAATCTCCTCGCTTGCCGCTACTCCCTCGTCCGCACTTCCCCTCTTCCTCTCTGTCCCGCCTTTCCTCCCTGCTTCCCATCATTTTTTCGTTTTTTCTTCCCCTCTTTTTCCACCATCCTTCCCCTAATTTTCCCCCCGTCTCTTCATTAGGGTCCCCCCTTGCTTACCATTTCGTTACCCCCGTGCTAGCCTTCCTCCCCCATGCTCACTCTTCCTTCCCCTCCAGCTTACACTCTGTTTCTCCCATCCTTTCTGGTTTTTTCCCCCCCTGGTACCCTATCGTCAACCGTCAACCCTCCTCTCCCACCATTAGCCCACAACTTAACTTGTCCTTCTGCCCAACATACAATCCTGCTGTCCCCTTCTTCGTCTCTCCCTTTCCTTGCCCCCACCGTGCCATTCTGCCCACTACTGCAGGTGAAGCACGTGTTTGACACCATAGCGCTGGCTGTCGGCCTTGCAATTGGCTCTCATCAACGGTCAATCATAGCTCGCTGAAGAGGCAACCCACCTCGTGCCGCACCCTGCCGCCCGTTATGACCCCTTGGGCCTCCTCAGTCACTCGAGATACAGACAGGGACACGGCTACAGCAGTGGCCCAATTCACCTCGCTCACCCTCGCCGCTGCCGCTGCCGCCCCTTCCGCCACCACTGCTGCCACGTCAGCAGTTGCCGGCATGCAGGCTGACATGGCAGTGAGCATGCCGGCTATTTGTTCCTAGTGTCGTAATCCCGCGTTCTTGCTCCTCACACTTGCTCTCATCTTTTCACACGCAACCCTGCCTTCCCATCTTCCATCCCTTCCTTCCCATCACCGCTCTCCCTGCCTTCCTCACTCGCTCTCCCTGTGCTCGCATCTCCTCTCCCTGCTTCGCGCCTCCCCTCCCGTGTCGTGTCCTGGTGGCCAGCACCACTGCGCTGTTGCGAGTGTGTGTGAAGCAGTGCGTTACATCCCGACGAGTTCGTGGCCTAGTCGGGGTTGCCGCCTGCGTTATTACACGAAGCCAGTCCGCCCAATTCATCCTCTTCTTTCCTGCTTTTCCCTTCATTGACCTTCCTTCCTTTCCCACCCTTCTGCCCTTCCCTTCCCTGCTCCACCCTTCCCTTTCCATCCCTTCTCCCTTCCCGTCCCTTGCATGCCCACCCCTCCCACATCACTCGCCACCGTCTACCCTCAAGTTCTTGTGCATGAAGTGCCATTACTTTCTTGAATTCCTTTGTTGCTTCTCCCCTTCTGCCTCACAGCACCTTCCCATTGGGCCTTACACAATCGTTTTTGCCTACTCTGCTAATTGGCTGTGTTGATACAGAGGGCAGCAATTACAAGCAGAGGCGTAGCTAGTGGATGGTTGCCCCCACTTTTGTATTGTCTCGTGTGCGTTGTAATGCAAGTATGGTAGTGAGTTAATCTTAGAGACATGCGTCATGAAGCCTACTATGTACTACCACGATTCAGCAGTGCAATATCCTTCCAAGATGCACTAACAGGTGTCACATCCCATACGGGTAGAAAGAAGCATGTCCTCACATAACTTTATACTGTAGGCAAAGGCCAAGAGGAGCAATGCCGTTCTATTGACCCTTTCTCTATGCCTTTGGCAACAAATATTAGCTGCTTTGACATGAGATGATTGGCTGAGGCGTGTTGAAGCTTGAAATCTTCAGAGCAGTCAGTCACTGAAATAGTAAGGGGAGGGGAAAGAATCCTGATAAGAAAACGGTAATGATTCAACCACAAGCTGTGACGAGGGGAATCATTGAGAAAACGAGGGGAATCAAGGGGGGAGGAAATGAGGAGAATCAGGTCGAGGGGGGGGGGGGGGAATGAGGGGAATCAGGGGGGGGGGGGGGTGGGGTGGGAGGGGGGAGGCGATGAGTGGAATCAGGTCGGGGGGGGTGGGGGGAATGAGGGGGAGAAGTGAGGAGAAGGGAATCAGGCTTTGGAAGGCATGTGAGGAGAAGCACATTGAGATCGCTTTCAGCGTTAGAGGGATTGCAGGGAAGGTAACAAGAGGGAATAGTATAGCAGGGAGGCAGGAGGAAAGGAAGAAAAGGAGGGAAGGGAGAGAAGGGAGGGAAGGGAGGGAAGGGAGGAAAGGGAGGAAAGGGAGAAAAGGGAGGAAAGGGAGAAAAGGGAGGAAAGGGAGAAAAGGGAGGGAAGGGAGGAAAGGGAGAAAAGGGATGAAAGGGAGGTTGCCACGATCCCCTGCCATACACTTTGCCATCGCGGCCTATCTATGCCCAGATTGCTGGCACGTAGGTTGCTTGTGAGGCGCAAATAGTAGGATGTACTGTCAGGAAGGCACCCCACCTGCAACACAAGCACAGAAATCGATCAAGGGGATGTGGATGTGAGAGCTGTTGGAGACGAGAATGAAACTAGTGTGGGACTGGGTGGAGAGGTGGCTTTGATGTGTGAGGATTGGCGCAGGCGGTACAATGTGCGGAGTTGGAGTCACCCCCTGCAAGAGAATCACGGTTTGAGAAAGTATAGCCATGAAAACACGGTATCGAGAGGGAAGGGAGGGAAGGGAGGGAAACGAGGGAAGGGAGGGATGAGAGAGAAACGAGGGCAGGGAGGGAAGAGAGGGAAACGAGGGAAGGGAGGGAAGAGAGGGAAACGAGGGAAGGGAGGGAAGAGAGGGAAACGAGGGGCGGGAGAGAAGAGAGGGAAACGAGGGGCGGGAGAGAAGAGAGGGAAACGAGGGAAGGGAGATCGGGATGCGGAAAGGGGGGAACGGGATGGGGAAAGGGGGGAACGGGATGGGGAAAGGGGGGAACGGGATGGGGAAAGGGGAGAACGGGATGGGGAAAGGGGGGAACGGGATGGGGAAAGGGGGGAACGGGATGGGGAAAGGGGGGAACGGGATGGGGAAAGGGGGGAACGGGATGGGGAAAGGGGGGAACGGGATGGGGAAAGGGGAGAACGGGATGGGGAAAGGGGGAACGGGATGGGGAAAGGGGGGAACGGGATGGGGAAAGGGGAGAACGGGATGGGGAAAGGGGGAAACGGGATGGGGAAAGGGGAGAACGGGATGGGGAAAGGGGGGAACGGGATGGGGAAAGGGGGGAACGGGATGGGGAAAGGGGGGAACGGGATGGGGAAAGGGGGGAACGGGATGGGGAAAGGGGAGAACGGGATGGGGAAAGGGGAGAAACGGGATGGGGAAAGGGGTGAACGGGATGGGGAAAGGGGAGAACGGGATGGGGAAAGGGGAGAACGGGATGGGGAAAGGGGAGAACGGGATGGGGAAAGGGGGAACGGGATGGGGAAAAGGGGAGAACGGGATGGGGAAAGGGGAGAACGGGATGGGGAAAGGGGGAACGGGATGGGGGGGGAAAGGGAACGGGATGGGGAAAGGGGAGAACGGGATGGGGAAAGGGAGAACGGGATGGGGAAAGGGGAGAACGGGATGGGGAAAGGGGGGGACGGGATGGGGAAAGGGGGGGGGAACGGGAGGGGAAACGGGATGGGGGGGGGAACGGATGGGGAAAGGGGGGGGGGGGGGGGAGGAACGGGATGGGGAAAGGGGAGAACGGGATGGGGAAAGGGGAGAACGGGATGGGGAACGGGGGAACGGGATGGGGAAAGGGGAGAACGGGATGGGGAAGGGGAGAGACGGGATGGGCCTGCATGTTGTGGCGCGGTGAGCGTGATCAAGGTGGCGTGAGGAGGCAACGTGAGGAGGCGAGGTGACGATGCCGCGTGCGGATTTGCGGCGAGGCGACGCCGTGACGGGCGTTGAGGCGAAGCTACGACGCGATGTCCGGCGAGGCAGCGGGTTCTGACTCGAGGGAGGCAATTTGCGGCGAGTGGATCATGCAAAGTCCCTCTAGGTACGCTTCAAGTTCAAGATAATTACGCTTGACTCCATCCCACTAGGTGCGCTTCAGGCCATCTTAGTCCGGATTTCCAAACGGCGATCGGCTGAGACAACGAGCCGGGCGGCCCTGCTTTCCACTACGTCGCATCAGCTACTGAACCACTCTAGGAGCAAGCCTCTGCTTCCAAACCACTCCCCGTCTTGGTCCGATCTGGTCTTGATCTGTTTCGAGCTCCGGACGTTTTCTGAGACCAGTTCTCGAGTGCCTACCGGCCTGGCGGGATCACACCTTATCACACCACACCCTATTCTAACCCATCCTACCCCATCCGATCCGATCCATCCTATCTTAATTTACTCAATTCGATCCAATCCAATCCCATCCGATCCCTTCCCATCCCATCCAGTCCCACCCCACCCCATTCCAACCCATCCCATCCCATCCCATCCCATCCCATCCCATCCCATCCCATCCCATCCCATCCCATTCCATCCCATCCCATCCCATCCCATCCCATCCCATCGCATCGCATTCAAGGAAACCACTACGCAAAGCGCGGCGAAGCGGCGAGGAGAGGCGAAGTGAGGGGCAGCGGAGGAAGGCGTGACAAGATTCCACATTATGCGGGCTCGTCGGTTCGCGCGCGTGATCGCAACCCTACGCGTGGCCAGGCCGACTGCCACACTAATCGTACGATTGACGCGATGGCAACGCCCGCGACTACTAAACGACTAGATGTGTATTCGTCGACTCTGGCGCCGGCGAGCCTAAGGGATCTGCTACGGTCGCGTCGCACTTCAATGCTATAGGCAGGTTTTTTTTTTAGTAGTGCAGGCTGAGAACGCTACGAGTGTGTGCTGGTGCGGGGGGAATTAAATCAGTATACTTTTGGCATCTATAAAGTTTTGGCACTCGACTGGGCTGACTTGGTGGGGAGGGAACCCCTTGTTTCTCGAGAGAGAAGTTGGGTGGCACGTAATTCGGTAACCACCATTACCTTTTATAAACCTTTGGCACTGGTCCTGCCAAATGTATACCGCCGCTTTAAAGGGCGACACCCGAATTACTCAAACCAAGTCAACGCCTTGGTGTTCTGGTTTGGAGTTCGGCCTGGTTGAGGTTCGGGTGGTTCCTGAAAACACGAATAAGGCGAAAAACATTCGCGAACACACGAGTGTCGCAACAAGGTTGGAACCAACACTACAAGGCAGATGGCATTGTGTGTGCCAACCCCACGGACTACTTTGACACAGAAATCTGCTCGACAAAACCAGCAATAGTAGCTCACTCACGACCGTTTCGAAGCCTAGGGTCTTGCATATCAGGAAGCTGAGGTGGCGGGAACGGAGAGAATACAGGGCACGGCGCGTTTACGCAAAAAATATGTACCGCGGCCGTCCCGTCCTCTTACTTCCCCGTCGCGTCGCATGGCCTACTCCCTCCCGTCTTCATCACTTCTCTTCCCCGGTCGAGACCGACGTCGCTCCGCCCCTCCCCTCTCTTTTCCCCTTCACACCCACCTCACATTCCCCCCCGAGTCGCCCTCGAATACCAGGGACTGTCGCCTTCAGTTTCGCGCGACGTCGCCCACAGCCCATCTTCCCGTCGTCCTCCCTTCCCCTCCTCGTCCCGTCGCCCGCATGGCCGTTTCCCTTCGGCCGCATCGCATTCCCGACGTTCGCATTTCGCATTCCCGTCGCCCGCATTGCGCCTTCTTGTAGCCCGCATTTCTCCTTCCCGTCGCCCCCATTTCGCCATCCCGTCGCCCCCATTTCGCCTTCCCAACGCCCGCATTTCGCAGACCGGTCGCCCATAATTCCGTTTCCCGTCAAGCGCAGCCAGCCTTCCCGTATGCCGCATTTCGCTTTCCCATCACCCATAGATTCCGTGTCCGGTCGGCCGCATTTCGACCTCCCAACGTCCGCTTAGGGTTTCTAGTCACACATTCCCTCATCCCATTTCCCCTTTTGCACTTTATGAGAGGCTCCCCTCCACCCCATGTCATCTCACCCAGCTCACTTCTTCGTGCCCATCGCGAATCCCATTTCCCACACTTCCTTTCCCCCTTCTCTCATCCCTTTCTCCCGTCACTCTCCCCATTTCCCTTTGCTTACTCTCTTTCCCCCTTCACTCATCCTTTTTCCTCCTTGCTCGCTTCCTTTCCCCCTCGCTCATCCCATTTCGCCTTGCTCACTCCCTCTCCCCTTTCCCTCATCCCATTTCCCCCCTGCTCACGTGCTTTTCCCGTTAGCTTCCCATTTCCCCCGTGCTCACTCTCGTGCTTCCCTCTATGTCCATCCCATGTCCCCCCTACTCTCTCTCTTGGCCCTTTCACTCATCCCATTTCCCCATTGCTCATTCTCTTTCCCCACACACTGATTCCATTTCCCCCTCCTCACTTTCTTTCCCCCTTTCCACATACCATTTCCCCCTGCTCGCTTTTTCATCCCCTTTCCCTCATCCCATTTCCTCCCTCCCCCCCCCCTCCCCCCAGCTGACTTTCAATCCCCCTTCACACATCCAATTTCCCCCCTGCTCACTCCCTTCCCCCCCTCACTCATGCCATTTCCCCCTGCTCATTTCCTTTCGCCATCCACCCATCCCATTTCATCCCTGCTCACGCCCTGACCTCCTCCACTGATCACATTTCCTCCCCCCCCACTTTCTTTCCCCCAACACGCACCCCATCTCGCTCTTGCTCACTCCCAGGCCCCATTTACTCATCCAATTGGGGCCTCCTTTCCATCTTCATTTCCCCTTTGCTTATCCCATTTCCCCTGCTCACTCTCCTTCCCCATTTACTGTTCCCATTTCCCCCTACTGTATCTCATTCCTCCTTGGTGCGTACCATTTCCCCCTGCTCACTTTTTTCCCCATTTCCCTCAACCCATCCTTCCCCCCCCCCAATCCTCTCTGACTATCTGCCGCCCTTCACTCATCCAATTTCCCCCCTGCTCACTTACTTCCCCCCCTCGCTCATCCCATTTCAGGCTGCGCACTCCCTTTCCCCATTCACTCATCACATTTTCTCCCTCCTCACTCTCTTCCCCTCCCCATACCACATAAATTCCAACTCACCTCGGCTCCCCACACTCTCCCCATACTACTATCTCCCATCTCACCTCTCTCCTCCATCCACATCTTCCCAAATCACCTTCCTTCCCCCACCAAATAATCCTACATCGCCTCCCCTCACAATGCAACGTACTCCCATCTCACCTCCCCTCCCCTTAGCACATACTCCTGGCTCACTTCCCCCCTGCTCACATACCATTACCCAGCCCTCAATTTCTTTCCTCCTGCCCGCATGCCATTTCCGCCTCCCCTTCACTCACCCCATTTCCCTCCCGCTCACTTTCTCACCCCCATCGCCCATCCCATTTCGCCTTGCTTACTTTCTTTCCCCTTTCCCTCATCCCTTTCCCCCCTGCTCACTTGCTTTCCCCTTTCACTCTTCCCATTTCCTCCCTGCTCACGCCCTTTGCCCCTTCACTCATCCCATTTCCCCTTTGTGCGCTCTCCCCCCCCACTCACTGATCCTATTTCTCCCTGCTCACTTCTTTTTCCCCATCCACTCATCCCATTTCGCCCTGCTCACTCCCTTTCCCCATGACCCCATCCCATCTCCCCCTGCTCACCTTATTTCCGCTTTCGCTATTTCCATTACCCCCTCCTCATTCCCAACACTCATTTCTCCATCGAGCAGGTTTCAAACAGGGTATGGACGAGTTGGCTAGTATGGGGTTTCATGAGAACGGCATCAGCACAGATGGGGGTAGTAGCTTCAAGAATGAGGTGCATGACACAAGGTTGAGACACCAGATAGACTGGTGGCAGAAGTGTAGTACCGAGATGCATAGTTTCATATCCGAGGTACAGGATGCAACGCGGAAGATTGGTTCTGTGGATGAGGCTACGACATGTGAGGATCTTTATTTAATGTCAGTAGATAATTTAGTGTCTTGGTTGAGGTTGCACTCGCCATGAGGGTCTGAGTATGGTACGAACTGTGTAAAGAAGGTGCTTGTAGAGGCAGTAAGTGAGTTGCATTCCGTCACGTTCAAGGATATGGAGGTCGCAGAAGCAAAATGGTTGCACCCTGAGCTGCAGCAAGTGGTGCTGGAGCATGAACGCACTGCAGCACCTGCCGACATGGAGGTGGGGGAGGCACCACAGCCGAATAATGTGCTTGCATCTCAAGCACACGGGCGCATCGGAGGCAGTGCAGAGAGTCTACAGGATGACCTGGACGATGACACTGACGGTCAATGTTAAAACACAAGGTGGAGTAGGCTCCCCTCACACTCCCCGCTCCAGCCATCCATCCTCTAGACTCAGCTCTCCTTTCCAAGTGCCATAACGATTACATTCTTATGCTATCTATGCACTTCATTGGCCCATACACGAATGTATTGGAGGTAACCTAAACCCACTTGCTCTACCAGCATCCCTTGTCTTCCCTTTCATTCCCTACCTTCACAACCCCCACTCATCTGCATGCCCCATATCTTGCAGGTGCCCAGCTAATATTGCCACCCTTTTCACCCAGTCCTGCCTTGTTTTCTTGCCAGAATTTGTCGCATACGTTCCTGCGCCCTCTTCCAGCACAGCCCACCCGTGTTTTCAAACCCCTTCTCTCTCAAATCAGAGTTCTCTTGCAGGTGGGGTGCATCCCTATCCGCACATACTGCCACCAGCCCAAGCAGCACACGTCAAAGCCACCTTCCCACTACATCCCATACTTGTTTCATCCTTATCATCCACAGCCATCACATTGCCTTCCCCAAATCACATTGCTTGTGATGCAGGTTTGGTGCCTTCCCAACTGCACATCCCACCTTCTTCGACTCACATGTCACATAAGAGCCAGCAACACGGGCACGGATAGGCATCAATGGCAATGGGCATGGCCATGGAGTGTGGCAACATATACGGGAGAAGCAGCTTCAGGCCTCTAAGCATCCTGCTGTGCTCCTTCTGTGCTCTAGGCATCTACTTGGCTGATTTGCACATCAGCACACCTACACACACCCTTTCCTCCTTTAGGTACTTCTTGCAGACCTAGCACGTGAGGGCATCAATTACATGTTTGTGTTTTGCCAACTAGTTATCGACTGCATTGTTCGATGAGGTGGGATGCAAACATCACGAGTTTCAAAGCATGTACCATCACGCAGGATGGAAACAGAGCAATAGAGTTACAGGCAAATGCGTCACAAGGTCTCCTTGCATACTACCCGGTATACGATGGGCCAATGAGTGCCCCCAACTTCTACTCATATGCGACGCAGTTGAAATGTGACGGTGCAAGCAGTGGCGATGGGCACACAGCATCAAAGGGTCCACGCAGCATGTCGCCTTTCATGTACACCTGGGAATGAGAGGCACAGTACAGCTGGGGTGATGTGGACATGGGGTGGGGCGGACATGGGGTGAGGCGGAGATGAGGGTATTTGATCCTGGCCCCTGAGGACAGGACCCGATTGCTTTCAGCAGCTAGAGAGTGTGGGGTCCTGAGAAGGCGGGAACCAGTGCAAGGCGCAAATGAGCACAGGGGCACGGGAGAAGTCAAGTATGACGGGGGATGTTCCTACACAGAGGGGAGAAGTGAGGGGTGGGGGGAGAGGCATAGGCAAAGAGAATTGAGGGCCAACAAAGGTAGGGAGGTGGGGTGGTAGGGCGACACTTGGAAGGCGTTGAAGGAATGTGGGTGGGGTTGGAAAGGGCTGGGGAGAGAAGGGGATGGGGAGAAGTGGGGATGGGGGGAGAGAAGGGGATGAGGAGGAAAGGGGATGGGGAGAGAAGGGGATTGGGAGTGGAGGGATGGGGAGCAGAGGAATCGGAAGAGGAGGGACGGAGTGAGGAGGAATTGGGAGAGGACGGATGGGAACAGGCTAGATGGGGAGATGAGGGATAGGAAAAGGATGGATGGGGAGAGAGGGAATGGGAGAGGAGGGATGGGAAGAGGGTGAGTGGGGAGAGCATGGTTTTGGACCAGGCTGACCCGTCATTCGGTGGCAGTCCACTCCAGCAGCACCACATCTATCACTGCTGAGCAAATCTGCCCCGAGCCGTCCGTCCACAGTGCCCCAAACCAGAGGGGATGGTGGTAAGGAGGGATGGAGACATCAGGGATGGGGAAAGGATGGATGGGGTGAGAAAGATGCAGAGAGGAGGGATGTCAGGGGAGGGATGGGAGATGACGGACGGATACAGGATGGATGGTGTGCGGACGAAGTGGGACGGGAAGGATTGGAAGAGGAGGAATCGGGAGAGGAGGAATTGGGAGAGGAGGGATGGGAAGCGGCGGGATCAGGAGAGGAGGGATGGGAGAAAGGAGATATGGGGAGAGAGGGGGTGGGGTCAGCAGAGGGATGGGTAGAGGAGGGATGGGGAGATGAGGGATGGGGAGAGGCTATGGGAGCAGAGATGAGGTGAGGCGGAGATGAGGAGAGGCGGAGATGAGGAGAGGCGGAGATGGGATGAGGGGGGGATGAGGTGAGGGGGAGATGAGGTGATGGGGAGATGAGGTGAGGCGGAGATGGGGAGAGGCGGAGATGAGGGGAGGCGTAGATGTGGTGAGGCGGAGTTGAGGAGAGGCGGAGATGAGGTGAGGCGGAGATGAGGTGAGGCGGAGATTAGGTGAGGCGGATATGAGGTGAGGGGGAGATAAGGTGAGGCGGAGATGGGGTGAGGCGGAGATGGGATGAGGGGGAGATGAGGTGAGGGGGAGATGAGGTGATGGGAAGATGAGGTGAGGCGGAGATGATGTGAGGCGGAGATGAGGTGAGGCGGAGATGAGGTGAGGCGGAGATGGGGAGAGGCGGAGATGAGGGGAGGCGGAGATGTGGTGAGGCGGAGATGAGGTGAGGCGGAGATGAGGTGAGGCGGAGATGAGGTGAGGCGGAGATGAGGAGAGGCGGAGATGGGGTGAGGCGGAGATGGGATGAGGGGGAGATGAGGTGAGGGGGAGATGAGGTGATGGGGAGATGAGGTGAGGCGGAGATGATGTGAGGCGGAGATGAGATGAGGCGGAGATGAGGTGAGGCGGAGATGGGGAGAGGCGGAGATGAGGGGAGGCGGAGATGTGGTGAGGCGGAGATGAGGAGAGGCGGAGATGAGGTGAGGCGGAGATGAGGTGAGGCGGAGATGAGGTGAGGGGAGATGAGGTGAGGCGGAGATGGGGTGAGGCGGATCTGAGGTGAGGCGGAGATGGGGTGCTGAGGAGATGGGTTGAGGTGGGGAACCGCGGGGAGTGAAGGTGTGAGAGGGAGGGGCGTGAGCGTGGGCGACGGAGGTGAGTGAGCGTGTGAGACGGAAGGGGAGTGAGCGTGGGCGACGGTGGGGGCGTGAGCGTGGGGGACGGTGGGGAGTGCGCGTCGTGACGCGACGCCGAGGGAGCGTCGGAAGGGAAGAGGGGAGCGAGTAGAAATGTAAAGAAAGGGAGGAAGGAATCACTAGCAGAGCGGAAGATGGGAGATGGGGAGGAAGTGATGAAGGGAGGGAGGACGGGGAAAAAGGGACGGAGGTTGGACGAGAGCGGAAGGGCCATCCCGTTTCCCGTCGGGGAGGAAGCGTGGAGGCGGGAACGGGATGGCGAAGGAACAAGGGAGGAGGCGCGACGGGGTATTCGACGGGAGGGAGAAAGGACGGGTTTGGAGATGCGAATGGATAGGAGATGTGACCAAGAGAGGAAATGTGAGCAGGAGGAACTGCGACGGGGTGGAAGCGCGACGGGGAGGAAACGCGATGCTAGGGAGCCGCGTCGAGGAAGAAACGCGACGAGGGTCTCCTTGCGACGATGAGGAAACGCGACGTTGAGGATACGTGAGAAGAAGAACGGGCGACGAGGAGGGGACGTCACGTCAAGGAAACGTGATCCCTAAACGTGACGGGGCCACCATGCGACGGCGAGGAGATGCAAGGGCTAGGAAATAAGGCGGCATCCACGTGCGTGTGCTGCCTACGTCGTCGCCTCTGTGGAAACTTAGTAGTGATGAGGTGGTAGTGTCTAATGGCGAAATCTGGTCAATGGAGTGACGGGGGATGGGACTCTGCAGAAAATACTATTGGTTGACCTTGGGAGTAAATTACGGCCCGCTTTCGCCCTTTCCGGTCGAAACATCATCTGTCCCGAGTTTCGCGCTGATAAGGAACCTTCGCTCGGGAACTGACAGTCTAAATTTGAGTATAGCAACGCGCTTAGAGACGTTCGAAGGTACTCAGTTTAGTAATGCTGGGAGGTGATAGCGGCTGCGACGTGTGGAATTACGGGAGATGCGGGAAAAGGCTACCACAGCTTCACCCGAATTACAATCAAACTGGGTCCAAGTTCTGCGCTGGCAATTGGGTGGACTTAGCCTCGCAAGAGTTCCGTGTTTTTCCCGAAACTAACCAGAGCAAATCCGGTAACCACCCAGGTGCGGGGGCACAAACAACCCAGGTGTGGGTGCACAACTGGGCCCATTGTACATCATCAAGGTTCCTTGATCTCCTTGACTTTTCTGCCCCCTCTTTTCTGGGCCTCCCTCCCCTCTCCCCATTCCCTCATGCAGTGTGGCTGTTACAGTTGGGAGTGCCTCAGAAGGGGGGGAGAGAGGCACAAGGTGGTGATGCTGTGAGGCCAGTGAAGTGGCTTCAAGAAATTGTGCTAACTTTACTGCGGTACAGTAACTACAGGAAAGCTTTCAGTATGCAAACATCGTACTACACTGATTGAAAGAACATACAAGCAGCAAGTCCAACGCAAGTACAATACACAAACCCAGCGACAATTTGTGAGAGTAGCAGCTAATCTAGCAATCCACTGGATCGTGCCAAACCCCTAAGCCAGCTGTACGGATGCAAGAGAATCGGCTCTCTACTGAACGTAGACCTGAGCAATCGATGCTGCAACATTCCCCTTCACCTTCACGCCATCAACTTTAACCGAAAAATAAAAGCTCGAGGGAGACGCGTACACTCCAGCACTCACTAACACTGAGATCGGGTCGACAGGCGCATAAACCGAGGAGATCTGTGCGCCGCCATCCGCGGTGCAGGTCCAAGTGCCCGTTGCTGTGTTCGCCTTGGCCGTGCACGGAATGGACTTCACGAGCGCTCCCGTGCTCACTTTGTAGAAACCGGCATCCGTGACAGTTGCTGTCTTGCCGATAGTTATGCCCGCAATGCTGAGGGTGTAGGTAAACGATTGGTAGGTAGAGGTGCTGCACGAGGAGAGGGCGAGAAGGGGGGTTTGAGGGAATGAGACAGATTAGTACTTGTGAGAGCATTGCCAAGGGAAGAACCGAGGGAATGAGGGAAATGCTAAGTAAACGCTAAGGGAAATACTCGGTCCTTGCATGGAAAATCATGCAGCTAGTACAGAAAACAGCTTTCGCGGCTTCTTGCGAGGGGCTATTCAACACGATCATTGCGATTATGCGATTGATGAAGCAACGTTACTACTTAACGAGGAAAATCGTCGCTTACAGGTCAGCACGCAGGGAGCACGAGCCAGTCAATGCACGATTGCCCGAAGCAAGCGATGTTGCCGACGCTACGTCTGCGCGACAATAGGAAGGATAACCACAAATTGAGGTCGGTGGGCGGGAGAAGGTGGGCATGAGACACGGAACAACAGGGAGCATGGATACGGTGCGGCAGGAGTATACGGATACGTGCAGAGAGCATTTGCAGAGAGCTGGATACGATGCAGAGAGCAGCAGAGAGCATTGATACGGTGCAGAGAGCATTGATACGGTGCAGAGAGCATTGATACGGTGCAGAGAGCATTGATACGGTGCAGAGAGCATTGATACGGTGCAGAGAGCATTGATACGGTGCAGAGAGCATTGATACGGTGCAGCAGGGAGCACTAGACTATCGAATGAGTGGATGTGCTTCCACCTCGGTGCGAGTGCGTCGAGGCAGGTTGACTTACAGCGTCTGACGGCAGTGGCGCCACTGGCTATGAGCTCACGGCGCCCGGCGACGGCGCTGCAGGCCTGCACACGAAGAGATGGAATCGCGGAGCGGAAGAGCAGACTCAAGCATCAATTCGAGCAAACTCGCGATTTCGCGGTTTTGAGGGGGGGAGTAGAGCGCACAAGCACAGTCGTTGCCAAGCACAGTCGTTGCCAAGCACAGTCGTTTGCCAAGCACAGTCGTTTGCCAAACCCAAAGCACCAAGCCCCGCGATGGCCATCAGTTACTCACCAGCAAGGACGATTGCGAACTGGACGGACGCGTGTGCAATGGATTGAGAGATGCTAGTGGTGGGGAAAGTGCGAATGACGGCGCTGCAGGATGATCGCACATTGACTTTTTAAGTCGACTAAAAAAGTCATCACGAACAGCGGTGAGAGTAGGTACTCACCAGCGAGAACGATCGCGGATTGGAGGGACGTGTGCGCCATGCTTGTAGAGATGTTAGTGGTTGGGGAAGGCGTGTTTCCCGGTGGTGTATCCACAGGAATGGGCTTGAACCAAGGAAGCGAGTACTAGTATACAAGCTACGTTATACGCCGATGCTTACCAAACTGCTGTACATCCGATTACTGTTTTTATGCTCCGCTGAGCGGGCTGCGCGATACCACAGAACAGTGGCACGTACAGAGGACTGGAAGCACCGTCGATGCTACTCCGGCGCGCTATTCGGCGTGGAAAGCGTTACGATTCAGCTTCGTTCGCGCCGGATCTCACAAAAAATCAGAGAGCGAATCGAGCAAAGAGCTCGGCAACAATAGCGAGCGGCATGCAGCCTGGCGGAATGGTCCAAGTGCCGCGCGATAGCAGCGGCGAGAGTATTGGATGCTCACCAGCGACGACGAGCGCGCCGGGTCGCAGCGACGTGTGGGCCATGGCTGATTGAGATGGTGGGACTTGCGGATCGTGCAGCGAATCACGGCGCTGCCGTATGTACAAAAACGGACTTGGAGTCGAACGGTCTGAACGGACTTGGAGGTGCAATGTTGCTGAAGGAAAGGCCAGCAGCTTTTATAGTAGTTTACTGACTCAGCAGCTCGGAGCTGGCTGCTCGATACCACAGACGCATGCAAAGGACGGGAAAACATCGTCGTTGCTACTACTCCAAGCTATTCGGCGTGGCACGCGGCGTTACTATTCAGAGTACGAGGAAAGCGGGAGGAGGAGCCATAGAAGCGCCGGGATCGGCGAGCCTCGTCCGGCATTGACGGCGATCTCAGGTGCCTTTTGACCATGATATCTCCAGGTCCCATAGTAATCCGCACGATGCGGCTTGACATTGCGTCACTACAGCACATGATTCTCGCACCCAGGAGATTACTTTGGTGACGCCCAGGGTTTCCTTGCTGCTGCATGTCACTCCACCTGAAAGTGATTCAGTGCTGCCAGTTGTACAGTATGATGAACAGGCCTGTCGATTGACGGGCATATGCCCTTAATGCCCTGAACATTAAGGGTTAGTTTCGCTCCAGCTCCGATGCGTCAAGTTTTTTATTCGCACCCCACCCGTGCCACTAAGTGCGAAGTTTGACCCTTCCCCGGATCCGTTAAGGGACAAAAGCAGGCCTTCCCCTTTATCTAAGTTTTGGTTTCGGGTCGTAGGACCCCCCCCCCCCCAGGGAGCCCGAACCACACCCCCCCCCCCCCCCCCCTCTTTCTCCTTAGCCTGCACTAGAGCGCGCCAAGGGGATTTTTCCCTTAGCGTTTTGTAGCCAATCCGCGTGTCTCAGTCAGCCTAGGAGCACCCGCACATTCCCTTAGCGTCCAGTACGAGCTGGCCGCAGTTTACAGCTGTGACACATGGGATTGCCTTGGGTGAATCTGGCTAAGTTGATTGGCCACAGAGACATCCAACACACTAAGCCAATGCACGTCAGGGGAACTGAACCACTCCAGCTGAGCAGCTCCCTCCCTCACCACCTTCGTTAGTGGGAGCCACGATTCCTCTCCACCACCATGCAAGCCATCCACCACCACCACCCACCCAACCTCCCTCTCCTCTCCTCCCTTGTTCGTGCCATGTTTTCTCTTCCCCAACGTCCTCCTACCACCACGGTACCATCCACCCGAGCTCTCTGCTCTTCACCCTCGTACGTGCCGTGCTATGGCACTTCTCCTCCACCCACCCACTCTGCCGAGTAAACCTCGCGTCGCGTCGCTCACACACGCGAGGTTTATATTGCGGGTAGCTAACCCGTTCTCTTCGTCAGCCACAGACTCGCACAATGGACCCTAGCGAGGGTGAAACCCCTCCTCCAGTTTTTCCCATGACGGCCGTCTCTCACTCTCATACTACGACCGAGACCGAGCCTTACGCACCCTCGGATGCTGAAGACATGCTAGACGTAGCTATCTCAGAGTTGGCCCCGGTCTTCGCCCAGCAAGCATTATCGTCACAGACCACACCGATAACAGCAGCCCGCTATCGTCAGGTTCACCTTAGCTTCGCGTCTCCGCCTCCAGAGTCACGAAAGCGCGCACTAAGCGTACCGCCTCCACCCACGGCCGAGGAGCTGGAGGCGCAGGACAAGGCTATTGCCGAGGATGCAGAAGTACCCCCGGACACCGAGATCCCTGCTGCTGAGAAGGGTATGGCACGTCGCTTCAACACGTCGTGGAAGCAGACGTACTCGTGGTTGAGCCTGAAGTACAACAAAGAAGAGCGCCTATATGGTATGAAGTGTTCCGTGTGCTGTAAATTCGCTCCTAACACCAAGTCTCCCTTTGGAGGTCCTGGCGTCGGTGCAAGGGATTTTCAGAAGTCGGCGTGCCGCAACCATGACCAGTCCAAGGTGCACCTCGCGGCCATGGAAGCAGAACGACTCGCTGCTGGCACGGAGGTGAGGCAGCGCAGCCTCTTGAACATGCTTAGCGGCGATCCAGTCATGGCGAGGGTCGTCAAATGCATGCAAGCAGCTCAGTGGGTTGCGCAGAACGATGCACCGATCGCTCTCTACCCCATGCTGGTGCGGTTCATGGCGGAGCAAGGATGCCCCGACATGACGAACAGCGAATCCTACGGCCGTTATTACTCGCGGTAAGTGAATGTTTGCCTCTGTTTCAGCTCTTAATGTCTTGCTGTTTTTTATGTTTGCTGCCTCGGCATTGTCGTACTTGTGCTTGTGCTATATTGTAAGTAACGTTTACTCGGTGCTCATTGCAGATACGCCTTCGGCGAGTTCGTAGAGGCTATGGCGAGTGCATCTGGTGACCAAGCAGCTCGTGGACGTCAAAGAGTCGGCCTGGTACAGCCTCTCCTTCGACGAATCCACGGATCGCGCCCGCGGAAAGCACCTCATCATGTATGTCACATTCGAGAGAGCCGAGGCCGTGGTGTCCCAGTTCCTTGCGCTCCTGTCGCTAGAGCACTGCGACGCCGCTGCACTGTACGACACGATCGTGAAATGCCTGTGGTCAAAGGACATGTCGATGGACAAGCTTGTCGCGGTTTCAACGGATGGTGCATCCGTCATGACTGGCAAGAAGAACGGAGTGGTCGCCCTGCTTCGGAAACGTTGTCCGTGGCTGGTGGCGGTTCACTGCGTGGCGCATCGGTAAGGTTGCACTGCACTATGCTGTTATTTCATTACCGGCGCCATACGTACTCACGTACCTTTCGTGCTTGTGCAGCGAGGCATTGGCTGCAAAGGATGCCGCGAAGAGCTTCAAGGAGTTCAACGTCATCGATCAGATGATACGCCAGACTGCCGAGCGTCTCGGGCGTTCATCGACCGATCACAAGACCTACATGTATCTCCAGGACGTCATTCTGAAGACGCACCTGTAGGTGCAAGGCTTCTGCACCGTCCGTTGGCTGTCTCGCGGAGATGCTGTGAGTCGCTTCTGCGACGTGCTGCCGGTGCTGATGTGGATGTGGACGAGGGAGAAGGACGGGACGGAGAAGCTCGCTACCAGCTTCAAGTTCCACTACATGCTTTACCTGCTGGCTGACGTGCTGCAGCTACTCAACAGGCTCAATCTTGCCTTCCAGAAGCAGACGTTAAGATTGTCATGAATATGTCCTAGGCGCATCTTGTCTTAAGTGCTGGTTCTGATGGTGTCCCGCTCCGTTTGCTTTCAGGTCGACATCACAGAGGTGAAGAACCACGTCGACAAAGTGAAGACCAAGCTGTCGCAGTACTACGTGGAGCCCAGCGCATCCAACGGGCCGAACACCTCTCGCCTGAACAAGTTCCTTGCTGCACACGGCAGCAAGGAAAAGCGCAAGCTAGAGCTCAAGGGAGTGGACGAGAACGGCAAAGCTGCAAAAGAGGAGATCGAGCTCCACGAGGACATCATCGACCCTGAAAACCCTGGGGGGGGATGCGACTTGGAGGCTTGCGCGGACCTGGCGCGGCGTTTCGCACAGCGCCTGATTAAGGCGCTGGGGAAGAGGATGGCGGACCTGCGCCATTTCGATGGTGTGGGGTTTTTCACCCCAGATAAGTATCCCTTCCGTGCAGGAGAGCAGGACACATGGTTGAAGCTCCATCTCATCGAGCTTCTGGACATGTTCAAGAACCAGCTGCCTGGTAAGCCTAGATTAGTGTGAGAGGAACCCACGGGTGTTCTAACTTTGTACATGTTGTTCTCCAACATTGACCTAAGCGGTTTTGTATATGTCCTTGGCAGGTGTCGCTCTTGCTGACATAGAGCCGCAGATGCGACTCTTCACAGCCACCATGGAGAAGAAATTCAAGAAGCAGACCTTCCATCAGGCTCTCACCAACATGCTGCGCACTGCAGACTGGAAGGATGACTATCCCACCATAGTCTCTCTCTGGCGTGCGGTCTCTGTATTGCCCCTCAGCACTGTTGAGTGTGAGAGGGGCTTTTCCCGCCAAAACATTATTAAGTCGTGGGATCGTGTTGCTCTTACTGATGTTAGGCTGGGGGAGCTGATGACAGTGAAGATGCTAGACTACCCCGTGGACTGGGCAGCGGCCTATGCCTTGTTTGAGGATAAGGGGAGGAAGGGGAGGAAGCCTGCCAAATAGGCTCTTATTGCATGTTGGGTGGGAGTGAGTAGCTGAGCTCTACATGCCATATCTGTAGTTAGAGTAGAGAAGAACATTGCAGGTTAGGTATGTTTTATGACTTTTTAAGACATCTGTAGTGTTAGGTATCCTTGACTTCTAATAAAAGTATAACATTGCACGTATTATAGTAAAATGAAGTGTAAGTACAAACTTCAAACATGCCCTGATTTCAAGTTCTGACTTTGGGGTGCGCCCGTGACCCTTAAGGGCGCCAAAACGCTCACCTACACCCAACCAAGGGTTAGATTGGGAGGAGCTGGGGAGCGCAAGTACGAGCCCCAGGAACTTCGACAGGCCTGATGATGAACCGATTGAGGTACCAGCCAACGTTCGGAAAACCTATCGAGCAATCCGTGCCAAGACAATCCAGGTGCCGTGTATCACGCAAAACAATCTGAGAATCTGAGAACGTTTCGAGAGAAAAGAAATTGTGATATGAGGTAGGGATAACACATCCGAGCTCCCTATTACGAGTGCAATTGAACTAATTGAAAATTGCACTAAAGGGCGAAACGAGCAGGGCCTATGTTATCAGGATAATTTATCCTGATTCTCCTGAATTCAGGATAGGTGTTATGAATGAATTTGCAGAGTGCGCAGTAAAACGAGTAACGAGAATGACTGACTACTGAATGACGATACAATGAAAGTGACGCGAATTTATAAGGAGAATCCTAGCTAGGCGAAGGGTTCGGGCTAGGATGGCTCGGAAAGTGTTGCGATTGGAGCGGTGGCGACTCGGAAGTGGTTTGGGGTGGAAATGTAGGCCGAACCGGGCTGATGCGTGGTGTTCGGGTTGTACTCGCTAAAATGCGAGTACAGTAAGGAATTGTAATTCCTTACACTCTCCCACCTTCCAAATAAGGCCTCCCTGTATGTAGACGGAGCCTTCATTAGCGAGTATGCCGTTGATTTCCTCTTCAGCTGAGGACGCGTCACAAGTAGAACATCGATCCTGCCTAGAATCGGTGTTTAGGTGGTTACACATTTTCGTTTATTTTCGCTAACGTACAGTTTTCCCTTCTAAGTCAGGCGATCGATGTGCCCCTGTCACACACGATCGTGCAATTTCGTCCACATCGGGCAATTTTGCCCCGTGTTTTTACGATCGTGTCACTTGAAACTTCAAAGCAGTCGTGACACACCGATATGGCGATCGGTTTGACAGGTTCGGTGAACAACCCTGATCCTTCCTCGATATTTTACTTGTGACGCGTCCTGAATCCGACTGCTGAAATTCCTTGGACAATTAAAATTGAAAAGGTTGGATTGTAGACCGTCGACGAAGGGAGATCCCGATCTGACGGCATGCATATGGCCTGGCCCAAATTGAATTGGAGGTTGGAATGTGGGCCGTAGATGAAGTCAGATATAGATCTGACGGACGCGAACAGTTCTGACGAAAACGAACTGAAAGTTGGGATTGAAGCCGTTGATGCAGTTTGAAGTCGATCTGACGGTTGACGATGACGCAAACTTGGGGGGAACCTGCTGACGCGGTGATCAGTCGCGATGTACAGGAACCATCGATTTCGCTGAAGGCAATCGCAGTCGTAAGTCGACAAGGTAAAAAAATTGTGGTCAGAAATCATGCCGAGAAAACGCCGAAGGAAAACAGTGCAGCGCACTTTCTCCCCCCTCCCAAGAAAACTGGCACAAAACTTTCACAGCTGCGCCGAGGTGAGAAAACAAACAAAACCAGCCGTTAAGTCCCGATGAAAAGAGCGTTAAGCGTAGAAAGCAGAGTGGGGGCGCGTCGGTGTGGAAAGTCGATGACGAAACCGGGTGTTAAGTACCCCAAAATTCCTCGAGGGCGAACCAGTAGATGTGGCCCGGAAACCGCAGCGGAAAATCCATGTTGCTCGAACTGAACATTTTTGTCTTCACTTCGCCAGAATCGTGCAATATCTTCAGCAGTTGCAGCTGGCAGCACCTGACGCGGGCAGAATCGAATCGTTTGTCGTGGGCGGGTCGAGTTGGGCAATTTGTCGTTAGTAGAGTTGTAAGTCTCGTCCCGAAATCCTCTGGCCGTGAAACCGGGGTGTGCCGAAAAGTGTTGAAGACGAATACGATTGGTGGCGAATCAAATACGAGAGTCGGAGACGGTCGTTGCAGGGGTAACTAAAAGCAAATTTCACTCCGAAGCTTGTTGTTGAACGCCGATCCAGTGTCAGGTGATGTCAGAGCATTCGGCGAGTTTGTCCATACTCGCCGAGCATTTTGTCGCAATCCGTCGAGGACTCTTGGGCAGAGATGAAAATTTTACAGCTGTCTCTCACCCCCTCCACTGTTGCTGCTGCCACCTCCAGTTCGTCGTAAGTCGTTCGTACCCCTTGAAAACTCCGTGTAAATCTCGCGGTGTTGTCCCACGTAAAATGCGCGCGTGTTTAACCAAAACTCTGAAAACTCCTCCGAAATTGTTGTCGCTTCTCGCCGGAAGACATGTTAAGTCCCGCGTAAAACTCCAAAAATGTCGTTCGAAAAGTAGCCTCGTAAATCCGCAGTTGCAGGTGCAGTTCGCCTCCGAAATCTTCGGTCGTAGTATAGCCGCCCACTCGGTCACCAGTAGTTTCCGTCAGTTCACCCGAACCCAGCATGCGGGTATAATCGGGAACCGGGGACTTGCCCTGGGTTATTCCGAGACCGTCGTTCACGGAGCCTAGCGCGCCTCAACGCCGTCAACCCCGCTGTCGAACTGCCCCTACCGATGCTACATAAAAAATTATCACGTTTCTCCCACCGGCGCTTTGCAGATGTGCCACCCATCGCTCGTCGTCGGCAGGTAGGTCTTGAAACTTCGACTGCTCCTATTTTTTTGTGTTTTCCACTCCCCGACAATATTGCGCACCACCGTTCACCCAGTGTCCGCGTTTGCCAGCTGAAGTATAAGGGTAAAGCTCTCCATTTTTTTGGGTGTTTTCGACTCCCCGACAATATCGCGAAATCGCCGTTCACCCAACGTCCGCGTCTGCCGGTTGAAGTGTAAGGTTGAAGTTCCCCGCACGATAATCCAGCTACGGTGAAGGCACAAATGCTATCGGAGTCGGGGCCGTTTTTTTTTTTTTTTTTTTTTTTTTTTTTTTTTTTTTTTTTTTGTGATTTTTTTTTGTGTTTTTTGTTTTTTGCACCCAACCGCTTTGCAGAGTGCGAAGTAAAACGGATAACGAGAATGACTGACTACAGAATGGCGATACAATGAAAGTGACGGGAATTTATAAGGGGAATCCTAGTTAGGCGAAGGGTTCGGGCTAAGATGGCTCGGGAAGTGTTGCGATTGGAGCGGTGGCGACTCGGAAGTGGTTCGGGGCGGAAAAGTAGGCCGAACCAGGCTGACGCGTGGTGTTCGGATTGTACTCGATATAGGTGGAAGGAATTGTAATTCCTTACAATAGGTGTCGTGTGCTTCACCTGAAAAAACAGCATAGAATTATTTGTCATGTAAAAGCAATATAATGGTAATTTGGCGTACTGGAAACTTATGATAGGGCTGTAGTTTCAGCCCTGACGACTCAGGATAGTGTCGAATCTCGCCCTGAAGTGGGATGTACTGCATGAAAAATCACCTAGGTTTTCGGGGCCTAAAATATACACAGGCGAGCACCTCTAGCATAGGAGACAGCGAGATTCAAACAGGTGTTTTACTGTGTAACAAACGGGCGCTTTACCCGCTACCACACTGGTCAAATAGGTCGGAGAGCAGACTTTACATTAATTTGTTCTCTTGCGCCACTTCGCCAGCTAAGGACGCGTCACCTCTTTCTTCAGGAGGGCGATCGATCGTGCACACGATCGGTGTGTCGGGTGTACAGTGCTTTCGCGAGATGGCGATGTCAGAATATTATGCTTTAGCCTGTAGTGGGGTGCTCTATAGCGAGTACAACCCTTCTAGGGTTTGCTATTTGTATCCCCATTCTTGCTAGTGTAACCCCTCCTTTGTTCATTTCTTGCTTGCCTAGCTAGGTCAACCCTAGCTATGGCTTCTCACTGTCCTTACTATCTTGACATGCTATCAGAGCGGTTACGCTCCTGGCCTGTGGGCCCGCCTGCTTCCGCTGCCTTCCTGTGTGTCGCGCGTCCCGTGGCGCGCGATGTTCGTTTTTTCTTCCCGCCGCGCGCTCGGGGCGCGCGGCGGTTTTCTGCCCGCCGTGGCCCCGAGGCGCGCGGCGGTTTCCTCCCTCGTGCGTCACCCCGGGGACCCGCGCTTCCCCCCCTCCCGTCGACCGCCCCGTCGCCCGTCGAAGCGCCCCCCGTCGCCCGTCGAAGCGCCCCCCGTCGCCCGTCACGGAGCCCGCGGACCTGCGCGTCGCCCCCCGTCGCCCGACGCGGCCCGCGCGACCTGCGCCAGGCCCGCGCGCGGCCCGTACGGGCTGCGCCAGGCCCGCGCGCGGCCCGTACGGGTTGCGACAGGCCCGCGCGCGGCCCGTACGGGCTGCGCCAGGCCCGCGCGCGGCCCGTACAGCCCGCGCGCGGCCCGTACGGCCTGCGCCAGGCCCGCGCGCGGCCCGTACGGGCT